CAACAATAATAATAATAAAAAAACAGAGCGGTGGGTGGAGGCGCAAGGAAGGTAAACAGGGTGAAGCGTTTTCATTGAGATTGTTCACATAAAAAACCAGGGACGTGAGGCAAGTGATTGGGTTGTGTGGCATACCCGAGCAGTCTTGTCGCTGAGTGCGAACCAGCGCTTGCTCCACCCTCCCTTGGAGCTCACTTTCCATAAGAACCCTGCCAGCGGGAACGACAGCAACGACAGCAACGATAGCAAGAACAGAAGGGCCATAATTATGTTAGAACAATAAAAAGGGCCATAATTCTGGCATAAAAGGGACACAAGTACTTTCCACAAGAACCCTGAGAGGGCGAACAGAAAAAATGAGGCATATGGTCATTCCTTTGACATTTCTTTATGTGTGATACAGAAGAGAACACAACAACACATCCCAACCTGTCCTAACCCATCTCAACCCAACCAAGCACACAACAGCACCTGCACACTCATTCACAGGAGCCAGGAGCTGCGAGCCATCGGCAGAGAGCAGAGGAGGGAAGCTCTTTCTTCCAGCATCCCATCCCATCCCATCCCATCCCATCCCATCCCATCCCATCCCATCCCATCCCATCCCATCCCATCCCATCCCATCCCATCCCATCCCATCCCATCCCATCCCATCCCATCCTATCCCATCCCATCCCATTCCATCCCATCCCATCCCATCCCATCCCATCCCAACCCATCCCAGCCCATCCCAACCCATCACAAAACAGCACAGCACCTGCAAGCTCCTTCATAGGAGCCAGGGGCTACGAGGAAAAGAGGGGGGCGGTTTCTTCTTGCAACATTTCCCACACCAACCCATCCCAACCCATCACAAAACAGCACAGCACCTGCAAGCTCCTTCATGGGAGCCAGGGGCTACAAGGAAAAGGGGGGGCCGGTTCCTTCTTGCAACATTTCCCACACCAACCCATCCCAACCCATCACAAAACAGCACAGCACCTGCAAGCTCCTTCATAGGAGCCAGGGGCTACGAGGAAAAGAGGGGGGCGGTTTCTTCTTGCAACATTTCCCACACCAACCCATCCCAACCCATCACAAAACAGCACAGCACCTGCAAGCTCCTTCATGGGAGCCAGGGGCTACGAGGAAAAGGGGGGGCCGGTTCCTTCTTGCAACATTTCCCACACCAACCCATCCCAACCCATCACAAAACAGCACAACAACTGCAAGCTCCTTCACAGGAGCCAGGGGCTACGAGGAAAAGAGGGGGGCGGTTCTTTCTTGCAACATTTCCCACACCAACCCATCCCAACCCATCACAAAACAGCACAACAACTGCAAGCTCCTTCACGGGAGCCAGGGGCTACGAGGAAAAGAGGGGGGCGGTTCCTTCTTGCAACATTTCCCACACCAACCCATCCCAACCCATCACAAAACAGCACAGCACCTGCAAGCTCCTTCATGGGAGCCAGGGGCTACGAGGAAAAGGGGGGGCCGGTTCCTTCTTGCAACATTTCCCACACCAACCCGTCCCAACCCATCACAAAACAGTACAACAACTGCAAGCTCCTTCACGGGAGCCAGGGGCTACGAGGAAAAGGGGGGGCGGTTCTTTCTTGCAACATTTCCCACACCAACCCATCCCAACCCATCACAAAACAGCACAGCACCTGCAAGCTCCTTCATGGGAGCCAGGGGCTGAGAGGCATCGGTGGGGGGCGGAGGTGGGGGAGGCTCCTTCTTGCGGCTGAAGGACGACATGGCAGAGGCGAAGCGACCTCCCCCACTGTCTCCTGTCGACTGGTGGAAGGTTGTTAAGGGGGGAGGGGGGGTGGCGTGGAAGAACGAAGAATAAGTGAGGCTGATCAGTGGAGAGTGTGGGAGAGGAAGAGAGAGGCCTTACTTACGGAGCGAACGACAGAGAGAGCAAGAGCACCTACTGAAGGAAATAAAGGAAGAGACAACTAGCAGGGTGAGAGAGAGGCAACGACTCACAGAGCGGGAGAGAGGCAACGACTCACAGAGCAGGAGAGAGGCAACGACTCACAGAGCGGGAGAGAGGCAACAACTCACAGAGCGGGAGAGGCAACAACTCACAGAGCGGGAGAGAGGCAACAACTCACAGAGCGGGAGAGAGGCAACAACTCACAGAGCGGGAGAGAGGCAACAACTCACAGAGCGGGAGAGAGGCAACAACTCACAGAGCGGGAGAGCACGCCTCGGTCCTGGAGGCCCTTGCGTGCCACTTCCAACTCCTTCCATAGCTTCTCCTGCCTGCCGGGGAAAACAGGGAAAAAGAATAGACGAGGTGGGGGGGGAGGGAGGGGAGGGGGCTTGAGGCACCTTAGAAGCCGGCCCTTGCGAGCCACTTCCAACTCCTTCCATAACTTCTCCTGCCTGCCTGCTAGGCAGAAGACGAACAAGAGAGGGCGGTCCAAGTTTGGATTGAGGGCGAGGCACAAGTCTAGTGCAAACAAACTTAGTGCAAGGGAGGTACAAGTTAGGTGTGAGGGGGCACGAATCTAGTGCGTCAGCACACGTCAAGTGCATCAAATTCGGTATGAACCTACGGATGCACAAGTCAAGGGTGAGGGGGGCGGCTCGAATCAGGGGCGTGCGAGGGCGGCATGAACCACATGGTGGGGCGGCAGGCAGCTCACAGCTTATACTCTGCCTCAATGAAGTGAGACGGCGGCACGATTCAATCCTCACAGCTTTCTCTCCAATTCTGTTCAGCCTTCACATGCTCACTATTGATAATCCCACATGCCCCTTCTTTCTTTCTTATCCCATCCTCGTCATAACCAGCGTCCTCGTCCAATCAGAGTGCGACATGCTGGACTATGCTTCTGACTACTTGCATCGGGTCCAAAGGACAAAATCACATGTCATGGCCAAATGGGTTCTGACTGTCCTCCCACCCACCAAACCGTCCGCCGGACCAGTTCTCAAACCATCTACCGAGCGTGCTACCGAACCATCCACCGAATCAGTTACCAACCAACCCACCGAAGTAACTCCTACTGAAGAGTCCCAAGCCAGCAACAGTTCCTCTCATGATGCAACGTACGGTCCAGATTCGCCGTGCGACCATGCCATCCACGGCCGCTGGCTGTTCAACGCACAGAAGCTGGCCTACGAGTGGCAACTCTACCCCTGCGCGCACCCCCTCCCCCCCGTCTCTCAGTGGCTCTCCGCCCTCCAATCCCGGGGTATTTCCGAGATTAACTTTGTCGGGGATTCTCACGTGCGCTTCCTATACCACCACCTCTATTTTCTACTCACTGGCAAGGCTAATGCTTCCACTGTACACTACTATGCCGACCTCCAATTGGTCGTGCCGCCCCCTAGCCCAAATTTGCAGCCTCTGAAGCTCAATTTCTACTGGATCGGAGGGATTTACATCGACGGGCCTTTTGGATGCAGGTGCAGTGTGCGAGCAACGCTTGTCTCTTTTATTCTAATCTGTTCCATGGTTTTCATCCCTTGATTTTGTGGCGTTCATCTCTCGATTGAGTAGCAATGCAACCGCTGCCTCAGCACCTGCATCCCCCACGTGGCTTGATCCCTCCCGGAGGATTCAAGGCTCTAAACACACGCCATGTGCCTTCCTGTCCTTTCTGCCACTCCTCCCTTCACTGTAATCACCATGCAGCTATAAGAACGTCACGGCATTTGAACTGCTCACGTTTCCAAACATTTCCTCGACAGCCAATGTGACGCTTGTAGACGGTGGATTCTGGATGACGATTTTCTGTGCCGAGCCGGAGAACGCGTTGGGGCATTATCTTCCCAACTACCTGCAGTGGGTTTACTCTCAGAGGGAACTGGCAATGCAGGCGCAGCAACAGCAGCAGCAGCAGCAGCAGCAGCAGCAGCAGCAGCAGCAGCAGCAGCAGCAGCAGCAGCAGCAGCAGCAGCAGCAGCAGCAGCAGCAGCAGCAGCAGCAGCAGCAGCAGCAGCAGCAGCAGCAGCAGCAGCAGCAGCAGCAGCAGCAAAAGAAAAAGCAGCAGGAAAATCAAGCTTCAGTGCTGCCTTCTAGGCCGGGCCCGTGGTTTCTGTTTCGAAGCATCCCTCCAAGACGGCTCAACGACTTTTGCTACGACGGAACAAATACGCTCATTTCACACATGAACAAAGTTGTTGCTGGGCACTTGGGACGGTACGGCCTGCAGCTTCTCAATGATTGGCTGATCGCAGCCCCTCGCCCCGACGATACGTGCGGGCCAAAGGATCCACACCACACCTGCTTTGTTGAGGCTGCAAACGGCAAGAATAATAATAACACGGGAACGGATGGAAGGTATGAGGGGGCCGTGGGTGAAGCGATGGTGTGGAATTTGGTGTACCATCTCCTGTATAATTTGACGTGAATATGCCTGAGCGAGTGCACCGTACTTGGGCTCAAAATGCACCACGTATATGGTTTTCCCAAGGTCTTACTTTAGGACCCAATTGCAGGCAAGCCTCACATCTGTTCAGGTGTTTCACATTATATTGCTCCTTTACTGGTAGGATGCACATATGTACTTGGAACTTCTGCAAACGGTATTAGACGTCGTTAAAACCAGACCCCTACACCCTACACCAGCAATAGCCTGACAACCTGGCAACATGAAGAGGATTGATACTGTTACTCTTCCTCCACGAGGAAATCAATCCATGCGATGTGACAACTGTGAAACAAGGGCATGTCAAGTCCTCAGACTTGTAAGTCACACAAATCACCTCGTAAGTACCAATACTTGCGCTGAAACCAGTGGATGGGGCAGGAGGGGTTCTCCTAGACGTGGCACGCAAGGGGTTCCCCATCCCCCCTCCTGCATCCGTCCCCCCTGCCAGGGTCTGCATCAGAGGACTCGCACCCGTCGCTCGCAAGTTACTTGAAGCTGAAACCAGTGGGTGGGGCAGGAGGGGTTCTCCTAGACGTGGCATGCAAGGGGTTCCCCGTCCCCCCTCCTGCATCCATCCCCCCTGCCAGGGTCTGCATCAGAGGACTCACACCCGTCGCTCGCAAGTTACTTGAAGCTGAAACCAGTGGGCGGGGCAGGAGGGGTTCTCCTAGACGTGGCACGCAAGGGGTTCCCCATCCCCCCTCCTGCATCCATCCCCCCTGCCAGGGTCTGCCGCAGCGGACTCGCACTCCTGGCAGTACTTGCAGACGGGACCATGGGCGGTCCCCGAGCCATCACCGGACCTGGGACCATAGCTCCGGGAACTCCCGCACCTAGCGGGTTGGGCACGGAGCCCATGGTCATGCCTCGGGTGATAGCTGGCGGCTGTTGATTGGCGGAGGAGGAGCGGGAAGGCTGGAATGACGATGCATGTGTGATACCATAAGAGGAAGCCCCCGCTCCTGCAGCTGCTGCTGCTCCTGCTGCTGCTGCTGCTGCTGCAGATGAGGTCGGAGGGGTGGGAGAAGCAGCAGCAGCACCGGCCGCTGCTGCTGCAGCAGCTGCTACGGCTGCCGAGGCTGAAGATTTGGAGGCTTTGGAAGAAGAGGATGATGATGATGAGGAGGAGGAGGAGGGCGGTGGTGGGGGCGATTTCCGAGAGGAAGGGGAGGGAAGAGTGTTGGAATCTGCAGAAGGTTCTTCGGGGATTGAAGGAGAGGCAGGGGCTGCCTTGTTGAAAGCTGTTCTCCATGCGTCCACTGTCTCCTTGGTGCCTGATGGGACAGCAGGGCACAAGATGGCAGAGAGAGAGAGGGCGCATATGCACAGAGATTGAGGTAACAGCAGAGGCGGCCTTGTTGAAAGCTGTTCTCCACGCGTCCACTGTCTCCTTGGTGCCTGGTGACACAAGATGGAAGCATGGAGGGGAATGGACAGGGCACAGAGAGGGGTGGAAATGGCACAGAGAGGGGTGGAAATGGCACAGAGAGGGGCGGAAATGGCACAGAGAGGGATGAAAACGCACAGCTAGGTGCTTGAACACATGTGCTTGAATTTTTCGCGCTTGCAATACTCAGAGAACGAGGGGAAGGGGGAGAGAGAAAGAGGGAAAGAGGGAGAGAGACGGAATGAAAGAGGGATAGAGGAGGGGAAAAGGGAGAGACACTCACCTTGCCCTTCATCCTCAGCAGACGCCCGCGCCTCGTGCAAACTAAGCGCTCGCTTCAGTTGCAGCATGGCATCGCGCATGCGCTTGAACTTGTCACGCTTGCCGGCGCTCTCCGCATCCTCCTGCAGCATGGAATGCAGCTTGTCGTCTGACATGCTGCTCACTGTCTGGTACAGCTTGGTGAGCATGGAGTCCCGTGCTCGCTCCACCTGAGATAACACGATGGCCTGACTTGTGGTAAGTGTGGGGAGGGGGGGGGGGAGAAGGAGGGAGAGGAAGGAGAGGGAGTGAGGGCACACATATGCAGCTTCACCGTCTGGTACAGCTTCGTCAGGATTGAACTTCCCGCTTGCTCCACCTGAGCCGGCACTATGGCCCGATGACAGCAGAGGTGGTGGTGGCTCTGGTGGTTGGATGTGTGGGAAACAAACGAGAGAGAGTAAGGGCGTGTCTTGCCAGATGCACAAGCACTGCCTGCACGTATCGGCTAGCGTGATGCACGCACTGTTGCGTCTTTGGGATTCTGTCGGCCAGAGACACACATGCATAGGCACACAGGCAGACACACATGCACACAAATCTTGGGGGATGTTGTCAGCCAGGTGCACAGGCACAGCCTGTGTGCACTACTGCTGCACTTCAGTCACCTGGTACAACAACCACTACCCTCTTGAATGCCCCATTGCCCTGTGTCACAATCACAGCGCCTCACTTGGGGGATGTTGTCAGCCAGGTGCATGAGCACAGCCTGCCTGCAAGTATCGAGCGTTGAGACAACCTGTGCCACGCACACAGGGGCTTACCCACAGGCACACATTTAGTGTGGGGATGCACAAGCACTGCCTGCACATAATGCCGCACCTCAGCCACCTCATACCACAGACAATACCCCCTTCAATGCCCCACTGCCCTGCGTCACACACAGAGCTACACACAAACCTTGGGAATGTTGTCTGCCAGGTGAACAAGCACCGCTTGCACATATCGCCGCACCTCTGTCACCTGGTACCTCAGCTCCTCCTCCGGATTCACCACCCGCCCCGCCCCCGCCACCCCTCCCCCTCCCTGCCCCAGCGCCCCCGGCACAATATTGCCCCCACTCCCACCACCAGCACCAGCAGAATCCCCATCCCTGCCGGCCCCTTCGTCTCCTGATTGGTCGGTGTCTCCCCCGGTGGAGGAGGAAGGGGGGGGTGGAGGCGGGGCCTCCTTGAAGGCCTTGGTGTGGCTGCGCAGGCGCGCCACCCACTGCTGCTTCTCCGCCATGTTGTCTGCTCGGAGGATGAGCGACTGGTGGACTGGTGGGGGAAGGGAGCAGGGGAGAGGGAAGGGAGATGCGGGGGCGGGGCCTCATTGAAGGCCTTGGTGTGGCTGCATAGGCGAGTCACCCACTGTTGCTTCTCCGCCATGTTGTCTGCCCGCAGGATGAGCGACTGGTGGACTGGAGGCGGGGGGAGGGAGAAGAGGAGGGAGGGAGAAGGGGAGCACGCAGGTGGAGTTGAGGAGAGAGGAAGAGTGAGCAAGCTGTGGCACCCACTGCTGCTTCTCCGCCATGTTGTCTGCCCGCAGGATGAGCGACTGGTGGACTGAAGGGGGGGGGTGTGGACTGGTGGAACCAGGGGACGGGAGGGTGATGGGGGAGGGGGGCAACGTTGAGAAGTATGAGGATGGAAAGTCGGGAGGGAGTGAGAGGAGGCAGGATATAAGGGGTCTTGAGTTGACCATCTTGGTGTGCCGCTGCCCATGCTCGCAAACATGGAGTAAACACGGCTGTTAGAACATGCCTTTGACCAAAGGCTTGTCACATGTGACAAGTGGGAACATTCATTTGAGTTTGACCTACCATTGACCTACCACGGTCTTGTACGGCACTCTGTTGCCGATCTTGAAGGAGAGTGCCTGTGCTGAGGGGTTGGACCCTGCCTTGATTGACCTACCATTGACCAGCGGTTACCCACCTTTGACCAGCGTTGACCCACCTTTGACCACGGTCTTGTACGGCACTCTGTTGCCGATCTTGAAGGAGAGTGCCTGAGCCGAAGGGTTGGACCCCGCTTTGATGTCTGACGCTGATGGCACCTCCTCTGGAGGCACTATCTCGTCTACTATGCAGTCCTGTAACGAGTGTTGCAAAAACGGGGACAAAATACGGATAGAGGGAAATTCTTCTGGAATTTACTCCTCTCTACCTCCTCAGGAAGCATTCTAGTTTGTCCACTATGCGGCAATCCTATAGCCAATACTGCAAGAATGGGGACAGAAAAGACGGGAAGCAGGAAAGAGTACTCTTGAAAAATGCACTCGTTCCTGCCATATATATCCCACCTACTGAGAGAATCCTGGCGGACATAGTTGAACACCCCCCACCCAAGAAGGAGGAGAAAAGCAGAAGAAAATCAACGATTGCCGCCGCCTTACCACTACCCAGACGACAACCACTACCCAGACGACACACCACAGCCCAACTCAACGCGGCACCGCTAGTGCCTTACCTTACCTTCCTCCACACCACAGCCCAACTCAACGCGGCACCGCTAGTGTAGTGCCTTACCTCGAGAGGAATGACTCCCCTAGGCGTCTTCTCATCAGGCTTCTTCACATAGTAGAGCTGCGAGGTGGGGCACGGCGAAAAAGGAGGGAGAACAACAATAATAATAATAAAAAAACAGAGCGGTGGGTGGAGGCGCAAGGAAGGTAAACAGGGTGAAGCGTTTTCATTGAGATTGTTCACATAAAAAACCAGGGACGTGAGGCAAGTGATTGGGTTGTGTGGCATACCCGAGCAGTCTTGTCGCTGAGTGCGAACCAGCGCTTGCTCCACCCTCCCTTGGAGCTCACTTTCCATAAGAACCCTGCCAGCGGGAACGACAGCAACGACAGCAACGATAGCAAGAACAGAAGGGCCATAATTATGTTAGAACAATAAAAAGGGCCATAATTCTGGCATAAAAGGGACACAAGTACTTTCCACAAGAACCCTGAGAGGGCGAACAGAAAAAATGAGGCATATGGTCATTCCTTTGACATTTCTTTATGTGTGATACAGAAGAGAACACAACAACACATCCCAACCTGTCCTAACCCATCTCAACCCAACCAAGCACACAACAGCACCTGCACACTCATTCACAGGAGCCAGGAGCTGCGAGCCATCGGCAGAGAGCAGAGGAGGGAAGCTCTTTCTTCCAGCATCCCATCCCATCCCATCCCATCCCATCCCATCCCATCCCATCCCATCCCATCCCATCCCATCCCCCATCCCATCCCATCCCATCCCATCCTATCCCATCCCATCCCATTCCATCCCATCCCATCCCATCCCATCCCATCCCAACCCATCCCAGCCCATCCCAACCCATCACAAAACAGCACAGCACCTGCAAGCTCCTTCATAGGAGCCAGGGGCTACGAGGAAAAGAGGGGGGCGGTTTCTTCTTGCAACATTTCCCACACCAACCCATCCCAACCCATCACAAAACAGCACAGCACCTGCAAGCTCCTTCATGGGAGCCAGGGGCTACAAGGAAAAGGGGGGGCCGGTTCCTTCTTGCAACATTTCCCACACCAACCCATCCCAACCCATCACAAAACAGCACAGCACCTGCAAGCTCCTTCATAGGAGCCAGGGGCTACGAGGAAAAGAGGGGGGCGGTTTCTTCTTGCAACATTTCCCACACCAACCCATCCCAACCCATCACAAAACAGCACAGCACCTGCAAGCTCCTTCATGGGAGCCAGGGGCTACGAGGAAAAGGGGGGGCCGGTTCCTTCTTGCAACATTTCCCACACCAACCCATCCCAACCCATCACAAAACAGCACAACAACTGCAAGCTCCTTCACAGGAGCCAGGGGCTACGAGGAAAAGAGGGGGGCGGTTCTTTCTTGCAACATTTCCCACACCAACCCATCCCAACCCATCACAAAACAGCACAGCACCTGCAAGCTCCTTCATGGGAGCCAGGGGCTACGAGGAAAAGGGGGGGCCGGTTCCTTCTTGCAACATTTCCCACACCAACCCATCCCAACCCATCACAAAACAGCACAACAACTGCAAGCTCCTTCACAGGAGCCAGGGGCTACGAGGAAAAGAGGGGGGCGGTTCTTTCTTGCAACATTTCCCACACCAACCCATCCCAACCCATCACAAAACAGCACAACAACTGCAAGCTCCTTCACGGGAGCCAGGGGCTACGAGGAAAAGAGGGGGGCGGTTCCTTCTTGCAACATTTCCCACACCAACCCATCCCAACCCATCACAAAACAGCACAGCACCTGCAAGCTCCTTCATGGGAGCCAGGGGCTACGAGGAAAAGGGGGGGCCGGTTCCTTCTTGCAACATTTCCCACACCAACCCGTCCCAACCCATCACAAAACAGTACAACAACTGCAAGCTCCTTCACGGGAGCCAGGGGCTACGAGGAAAAGGGGGGGCGGTTCTTTCTTGCAACATTTCCCACACCAACCCATCCCAACCCATCACAAAACAGCACAGCACCTGCAAGCTCCTTCATGGGAGCCAGGGGCTGAGAGGCATCGGTGGGGGGCGGAGGTGGGGGAGGCTCCTTCTTGCGGCTGAAGGACGACATGGCAGAGGCGAAGCGACCTCCCCCACTGTCTCCTGTCGACTGGTGGAAGGTTGTTAAGGGGGGAGGGGGGGTGGCGTGGAAGAACGAAGAATAAGTGAGGCTGATCAGTGGAGAGTGTGGGAGAGGAAGAGAGAGGCCTTACTTACGGAGCGAACGACAGAGAGAGCAAGAGCACCTACTGAAGGAAATAAAGGAAGAGACAACTAGCAGGGTGAGAGAGAGGCAACGACTCACAGAGCGGGAGAGAGGCAACGACTCACAGAGCAGGAGAGAGGCAACGACTCACAGAGCGGGAGAGAGGCAACAACTCACAGAGCGGGAGAGGCAACAACTCACAGAGCGGGAGAGAGGCAACAACTCACAGAGCGGGAGAGAGGCAACAACTCACAGAGCGGGAGAGAGGCAACAACTCACAGAGCGGGAGAGAGGCAACAACTCACAGAGCGGGAGAGCACGCCTCGGTCCTGGAGGCCCTTGCGTGCCACTTCCAACTCCTTCCATAGCTTCTCCTGCCTGCCGGGGAAAACAGGGAAAAAGAATAGACGAGGTGGGGGGGGAGGGAGGGGAGGGGGCTTGAGGCACCTTAGAAGCCGGCCCTTGCGAGCCACTTCCAACTCCTTCCATAACTTCTCCTGCCTGCCTGCTAGGCAGAAGACGAACAAGAGAGGGCGGTCCAAGTTTGGATTGAGGGCGAGGCACAAGTCTAGTGCAAACAAACTTAGTGCAAGGGAGGTACAAGTTAGGTGTGAGGGGGCACGAATCTAGTGCGTCAGCACACGTCAAGTGCATCAAATTCGGTATGAACCTACGGATGCACAAGTCAAGGGTGAGGGGGGCGGCTCGAATCAGGGGCGTGCGAGGGCGGCATGAACCACATGGTGGGGCGGCAGGCAGCTCACAGCTTATACTCTGCCTCAATGAAGTGAGACGGCGGCACGAAGCCCTTCTCCATGCAACCTTTGGGTCAACTCAAACGCCACCTCTTCCCCCACCTGCTCTGCAACCCATCAGCTCACCGCTTATACTCTGCCTCAATGAAGTGAGACGGCGGCACGAAGCCCTTCTCCATGTCCACGATGGCCGTCACCATGCGCTTCGCCTCCGCCCGATACTCGTCCAGTGCTGCTGATGCTATGGCCACCAGCTGAGAGGGGAGGGGAGGGAGTGATGGAGAGAGAATGAGGGAGAACGGAGGGACAGTTGAGAGGGTGGCATGGCCATGAGCCCTTCTCCATGTCCACGATGGCTGTCACCATGGACTTCGCCTCCGCATTTTACTCGTCCAGCGCTGCCGACGCTATGGCCACCAGCTGGGAGGGAGGGGGGGAGTAGAGAGAAGGATGCGATGTGCCAAGCAGTCACCATGCGCTTCGCCTCCACACGGTACTTGTCCAGCGCGGCCGATGCCATGGTCACCAGCTGATTGTAAGCGTGGGAGCGGAGGGATGGGAAGGAAGCGGGAGGAAAGGAAGGGCGGGGCGCCGTGGCCGTGATGCTACGTGCTCTGACCAATGCCAATGAGGCTATGACCATGGGCTAGCTATGATAGAGGGGAAAGAAGGGCACGCGTGCTAGATGTTCGTTGCTCCCACTTACGCCAAACTGAGCCATAGGGGGGTCAGAAAGGAAGAGTGGGAGAAAGGGAGGGGAGTTCACAAAAAAGGAGTGGGGGCGGGATGAGGAAAGTATTGGTGTTTGGAATGGGGAGGAGAGAAAATCGGGAGAGCGGTTGCGGAGTTTGGGTGAACTGGGGAGCTTATAGGCAGCCACTCACTGTACCTCTGTTTTCATGGGTGGGAACCGGACGAGCGAAGGGGCTTGGGATGCGGCCCCTGCAACGATGTCCACGAGGATCTTGTGCACCTGCATGGATGCAATGGTGTGGCATGAATGGTAATGAGCAGGATAAGAGAAGGATGGAGTTTTGAGTCGTCTCCAAAGAGGCGTTTGAGGCGGCACCTGCAACGATGTCCACGAGAATCTTGTGCATGTAGAGTATTTCTGAGAATTCTAAAAAATACTCTACATTTCCACGAGAATCTTGTGCACCTGCATGGATGCAATGCAAGGGCGTGGCACATGGCATGGGGAGAGCGGGTTAAGAGAAGGATGGCAGGAGGCAAGGCGAAATCCATGACACAAACACACCAAGAGTAGAGCGGTACGAGGGTTCTGAAGCTCCCCACCTCAACCTCAACCACACCACATCACTCCCACTCAGTTTAATCCAGGCCAGTCAGAGTCAATCTAAGTCAACGAGAGCCAATCAAGAGCAGTAAACACCCTCCTCTCACCTCATCCACGCAGTCAATGCCGGGCTGCTTGGCCAGCTCCAGACTCCTCTTGATGAGCAGACGAAGGCCCTTCTCTGGCGACAGCAGGTATGGCTGGTACCCATCCGCCACCATCACCACCTGATGGGGCAGGAGCGGTGGAAGTGATGGAAGGGAGGAGTGGGAGGGAGGGGTTGGTGAAAGGGAAGGGCAGGAGAGACAGACGTTTGTTACGTTGACTAGAAATACATCGAAACCCCTTGCTGGCGACAGCAGGTATGGCTGGTAACCATCCATATCCATAACCACTTGATGGAGCAACGGCAAGAATGGTGCAAAGGAGTGGTGGGAAGGGGAGTCAGACGTTTTTATGTTGACTAGAAATACATGAAGGTCCTTCTCTGGCGACAGCAGCAGGTATGGCCGACGTCTATCTCCCCTAATTTTTACTATGAGCCAAGAAGACCATCAACGGCTCACTCACTCACCTCCTTCACATTGTCAAAGCTGAACATGTCTGCCCAAGAGGGAGGGAGCCCTCTGAAGCACAGAGGCAAATACCTTCCATTCGATCATAAAGTCAGCCCACTCACCTTCTTCAAGTTGTCAAAGCCGTACATTTCGCCCAAGTGACTCTTGATTCGACTCAAAAGCCCCTTTCGCGTCGGCTCAACAGGACAGGACACCCTCATCAACGGCTCGCTCACCTTCTTCACGTTGTCAAAGCAGGCCATGTCATCCAGCGGGAACCTTCTGAAGCGCAGAAACAAATGCTTTCCAGTTGACTATAGAGTCGGGTCACTCACTCACCTTCTTCACATCGTCGAAGCTGAACTTGTCGTCCAGGTGACTTTTGAGTCGACTCAAAAGCGACATTTGAGTCGGCTCAACAGGACACCATGAACAGCTCACTCACCTTCTTCACGTTGTCAAAGCGGAACATTTCGTCCAGTGGGAGCCCTCTGAAGCGCAGAGGCAATCCTTTTTCAGCCAACTATAGAGTCAAGTCACTCACCTTCTTGACGTTGTCAAAGCTGAACATTTCGTCCAGTGGGAGCCCTCTGAAGCGCAGAGGCAGCGTGCCCACAAACTTCTCCACCATCTGCGACCCTCCGCCCTGCAGGTGCAGCAGTGGAGGCGAAGGGGTGCATGGAAAGAACCAGAACGGGGATTGTTAAAACGTGTTGCTTCAAGAAGGGGCTTGAAGCACAGAGCAGCAGAGGCAGAGCGCCCACTAACTTCACCATCTGCGACCCTCCGCCCTGCAGGTGGGTGTGGAGTTGGGGCGAATTGCGTGCATGGAAGGAATCAGAGTCTGTGCTTCAAGGCCTTCCTTGTAGCAGCAGCATGCTTAAGCAAGGAACCAGAACCATGCCTGATCGCACATGCTGCTAAACGGTCTGGCTTGAAACGCAGCAACTGTTCTAAAAAATTAACTAGAGCATGGAAAGGATCTAGAGTGTGCGCATGCCTCCCCTTTCTGCCACACACCTTCGTCTGTCCATCCTGCCTTGCACCTCACCTTCAGACACATACCTCACTCCCATCCAGGTCCGAGTGCTTGCAGAACTTGGTCTCCAGCCCTCGGCACAACTCCAACACGCAGGCACACAAGCCGTTGAGGCTGGACACAAGGGAGCCGCCATTTCCTCCCACCTCGCCCCTCCATCCCACCTTGCAACATCCCAAGCTATTGTGGCCCCCCTCCAACCCTCCAAGCACACGCACGCACCTCACTGCCATCCAAGTGCTCGCAGAACTTGGTCTCAAACCCTACGCACAGCTCCAGGGGGAGCGCACGCGATCTGTTCGAATTGGACACCAGGGAGCCGTCCGTCCCCCCCACCTGCCTGCACCACCACCTTGCAACACCCGTAATGCTCACTTCCTTCCCCAGCACACGCACCTCACTGCCATCCAGGTGTTCACAGAACTTGGTTTCAAACCCTCGGCACAGCTCCAGGGCGAGCGCACGCGAGCCATTCAAACTGGACACCAGGGAGTCTCCCAGCCTGAGTAGCTCCGCATCCACCTCCTGAGACCGACCCTCCAAACTGGTGGGGGTTGATGGATTAGGTGAGGAGGCGGGGAGCGGGGGAGGGGGAGGAAGGGGGTTCGAAAGAAGAGTTAGGAATGTATGGATTCTGGAGGCTTTTGAGGCCAGAGACGAGAGAGTCGGCCAGCCGTAGCAGCTATGCAACCATCTCCAGAGACCGGCCCTCCAAACTGGTAGGGACGGGAGAGAGGGAGGGAGGGAGGGAGGGAGGGAGGGGTATTTATAAGCCAATGAGGGAGGTAGAGGGGTGGAGAAGGGAGGTAGGGAACTGTAAATGCCTGAAGGCTGAAAGCCGTTGAGGCTGGAGCCGTCCAGCTGCAGCCGTTGAGGGAATCGCCCTGCCGCAGCAGCCCTGCATCCACCTCCTCAGACCGACACTCCAAACTGATGAGACCCGGGAACGAGGGAGTGTGGATGGGCGGGTGAGTGAGTGTGAGTGAGTGAGTGAGTGAGTGAGTGAGTGGAGTAGTTAGAGAGGTTGACACGGACATGAATCGTTTCCTTCATCTGTCAGCAAAGGGAGGGTGAGTGAGTGACTGGTGGGGTTGAGAGAACAGCTGATACAAGAGATCCTCTAAACTTGTGAACCGAGGGTATAAGTGAGAGTGACGGTGAGTGGAGGGGGTGGGAGAGCCTTACGCGGACATGATGCGGGGAATCTTCTCCTTCATCTTGTGCCGCACGGTGCGAGCAATCAGCCGCAGCAGTGCGTCGCGACCCATGGGTGTATCCATGCCCTTCACTCCATTCGCCCGCATCACCTGCCATGCAAGGCATGCACATGGAATGTTGCAAAACGCAAGGATGGAAGACAAAAAAGGCAAGCTGTTCTTTCCTAATCCTTTATCATGGGCTTGTTCGTGCCCTTGACCCCCAGAGGCTGCCCAATCACCGCCACCCACGCACAAGTAATACACTGCAACAGCTTTCAATCCCCATTCGCACTCACCCAGAGCAGAGCTCTCAACGCTCCTGCGACAGGATCTTGAACTCCTCCTGCCACGCAGCATTCGGGCAGTCACCAATCACAACACAACACAACACGCACCTGTGACAGACACTTCAATTCCTTCTGCCAAGAAGCATCCATGGGCTGATTCGTGTCCTCGTCCCCCAGAGGCTGCTCAGTCACCATCATCCAGGATTCTTCACACACTGTAACAGCTTCCAGTTCCAATTCACTCACCCACTGCTGCCGAGCTATTTCAACACACCTGAGACAGGACCTTGAACTCCTCCTGCGGCCTGCCACGCGCCATCCATGGGCTCATTTGTGTCCTTGTCCCCCAGTGGCTGCCCAATCACCGCCACCCACAGGCCATGGGTACTTCACGCACTGCAACTGCCCAGAGCTGAACTCTCAACTCACCTGTGACAGGACCTTGAACTCCTCCTGCCATGCAGCATACCAGCATTCACCATCCACACCACATCACAAAACAGCACGCACCTGAGACAGGACCTTGAACTCCTCCTGCCATGCGCCATCCATGGGCTCGTTTGTGTCCTTGTCCCCCAGCGGCTGCCCAATCACAGCCACCCACGGGTAGTCCTGAGCCATGGCCGCCCCCTGCCTCTGCAGCAGGTCTACTGCCAGCTTCGCCGTGTCTCTGTCCTTCATGACTTGGTCGAATTTTGTAATTACTCCAATCGTTCTCACACCTGCATTGGGAGGAGCACAAACAGAGATAGAGAGCTTCGTGACTCGGGTCGACAAATCTCGTGAAAACTTCGATGTCAACCGCAGCACAAGTCTGTGCACTCCACTCACCTTCCCTATCGATATCGTGCGCGATTCGGAGGATCTTAAGGGAGTCCTTGACGACCGTGGCAGAGACCACCATCACGCCAGGATGACTGCATCGCGGCACCTAAGTGTTATGCAGACTGCAGCACCACCAAGTCACGCGCCCTCCGCTCCACTCACCTTCTCTGTCAATGTCTTGTGCGATTCGGAGGATCTTGAGAGAGTCCTTGACTGCCGTGGCAGCGATGAGGTGACTTTGAGTCGACACAAAAGCCATTCCATGGCCATGCCCTCACTCACTCACCTTCTCTGTCAATGTCGTGTGCGATGCGGAGGATCTTGAGAGAGTCCTTGACGGCCGTGGCAGAGACCACCACCAGGATGACTGCATCGTTGTTGGACACGTTGTCCTGGAACTGCACACATCCATGCAAGCACACATGCACACGTGGAGTGCAAAGCACGAAAGTATCAGAATCGTCAAGACCAGCCTATGATGCTAGCTTCACTATTATGGTCTTGTCTCACACCAGGACCAACACCAGGATGACTGCATCATGGTTGAACAGGTTGTCCTGGAACTGCATGCATCACGTGTGGAGTGCAATGCAAGGCATGGGATTTTATTATTGCGCACGTTGATGGAGGCACTGTCGTCAAATCGGTCTATCTACCATGCCGGTTTCAATGAGAACTTGAATTTGGAAACGTTGCACACCAGGACGACCGCATGCATCGTCATTGGAAACGAACTCAGAGTTTTCTCTCCGTTGTAGAGCCTAACTGATGACAGCATTAAGTATACAGACACAAGACACAGTATGTTTTAGACGTTGCTTTTAAGAATTCAAAGGCAACACCAATTTTTTGCTGTCTGTTGTGGAGCCGAACTGATGACATCATCAAGTACACATAAACGAGACAAGGCTGTATACACAAAAAGCAATCACAGGCGGAATGGCATGGGAAAGGGAACTCTTACTGCTCCGTCCATTTGAGACGCCTTTTCGATCCCAGGCAGGTCAATGATGCGCATTGGTGGGGCTGTGCAGGGAGGGAAGGCAGAGAGAAGGAGGCGCGGGATGAGGACACCATGAGAGTGATGAGCCAGAGGACAAACATGTAGAAACACACACCACCATACCACACCACATCACTATGTGCTGCAATGGTTCCGTTCAGACAGCCCAGAAAAAGGGGTTGATATTTGTATGAAAAAATTCGCAAATCATTCACGAGATGGGCGGGAAGGAAGGAGGGCGGGGGATGGACAGACGGAACGCTTGGCGAGCGGAGAATGAGGGAGATCAGACCGCTTTTGGACAAAGTGATTTCTTTGCATTTGCAGATCGCAAAAAAAAAAAAAACTGAAAAGAGGGAAGGAGGGGGGCGGACGGACCAATTGGCGAGCGGAGGATGAGCTGGGCCTCCTCTCTGTGCCTGGACGACCCCTTAGCCTTGCTCATGTCCGACTGCAGTGCCTGCCGGATCTCCGCTGCTCACAGATAGAGAGAGAGGCACGCGGGGAGGAAAGGGAAGGGACTGGTGAGTGCAGGACAAGCTGAGCCTCCTCTCTGTGCCTGGACGACCCCTTGGCCTTGATCATATCGGCTTGACGAATTTCCGCTGCACCCAGAGAGAAAAACGAAGAGGGCAGCAAAGAGAGAAGAGCAGGCGAACGTTTCACTCTCAGATCGCCACGACTACAAACCCCCTTTCTGATGACCACCAGAGTCAACAGTTACCTTAGCACTCCTGGAGTCTATTGAAACACAAATTCAGAGCACCAGGCCAGACAATGAGCCATATGAGTTAGTCATCCCTAGAAAGGATTTGCTCTTACATGGCTTGGGCATGTTGGTTCTGGCGCCCAGATTGGCGCGCACAGAGCCAGCTGAGAGGTTCGGGTCGCGATGCAAGTCAACCAGCACTGGGAAGCGCGTGCACCCGCCCTCTCCTGTTGGCTGAGAGAATAACAGCGCAAGTAAAAGTTGGTAGAGGAAGCAAAAGTTTGGGGAAAGAAACACAATACAGGACAGAAAGCAGAGGAGTCAGAGATTAGCCAGCAGAGCACCAGTAAGTGGGTTCTGATTGCGGTGCACAGGTGTGAATGCATAAAAAGCAACAGGAAGAGATGCAGGTTAGTAACCGGATTGCGGGTGACAATGAGATGCATCCAGGATGACAACAATGAAAGCATATACAAAGAAAAGTTGTTAGAAGAGGATGCTCGTCCTATCAAAGTCACCAATGAAACTACTGCTAAACCGTCTCAACAGTCACCAGCGAATGAAGCCCCTTTAGTGAGTAAAGAGTTACAGCGACTGAACAAATCAACTTACAAAAGACCATCAAAATCGAGTACTATTTAGCAGACACAGGAAAAAAACATAAAATGTTTAATCCACCGACATACCAAGACGGCATGGCCGATGAGCGTGTTGAGAACAGCCGACTTCCCCGAACCCTGGAGGTAATAAGGGGAACGCGAAACGGCGACCAGACTTGAAGCTCATAAAGAACAGTTTTTCAACAGGGAAAAGAGAACGACGGAAGAAGCGTGTGAGAATGAAAGCTTAATCCTTGCTATGGAGTGACTGACGCTTGTTAACACGGAGCCCTGGAGATAGAGTGTCGTACGCTACGAGATCATGTCCGAGTGCGTCGTACGTGAAGGTATCACAATAGCGTGTCGTACGTGTCGGACATCATGACCGACCGTGTCGTACGCTGAGGCATCGCAATAGCGTGTCAGATGCGAAGACAAGCGTTGTTTGAGCGTCGTACCGAAGCGCGGACGACGGACAGCAGCATGGGAGCAAAGCAGTGTCCTATTAATGTTCTATCAAGCGTCGTGCTTCCGTGTCGACTTAAGAGCGTGGTAACTCTAAGTCCCGAAGGTCGTACGTCTGTGTCGACTCGACGAGAATCATATGTGTCGACTCGACGAGAGTCATGTGTCGACTCAACAAGCAACATACGTCTGCGTCGGCTCCAAAAGCATCATACGTACGACTACGTTTGACTCATCGAGCATCGTACCGGGGCGCCGATGACCAAGAGCTGGATGACGGGAGCCGACCCGGAGCGAGGGTCCGCCTGAATGTCGTCTCCCACGAGCGCCGACGACGCCTGCTGTAACGTCTCGCCTAGCGATATTAGGTCGTCCATGGGAACCTACTGACTAATCGCTATCGTCGTCGCAAGATTCGCGATAGTCGCAGCAGTTGCCACAATAATCGTAACGGACACAGCAACGGTTGGACGGAGTGACAATGAGCGACAAAATAGTCTGACGAAGCGCCGCCGCAGCGATTAGTGATCTGTAATTGTTCAACACGCAGAGACGATTCGAAACAAGCTTATTTCGAGCGATCACATGAGATGATCAGCCGGAGAGCACGCATGAGCTAGTTAGCAGCCGAATGGCCATGGATGGACTATGGAGATCATAGCAGCTAAAGAGGAATTCCGCACGCTAGAGACCCATCTGCTTCATGAGCATTGTGCATACAGCAGAACTGCCATATGTTCCCAAGGCCCCTTGGTGAATTCTCATCTCACGTACAGGTTCATGTCTGTTGTGTGTTCAGCCGACACTCTGCGAGACGCTTCGCAAATGACGAAAATGGTTACCATAAGAGGGCACCCCTTTCCGCCCCAAAATGCATTTTCAAGGCTGGACGAAGAAGCTCTCAAGGCTAGCAGGAGAGTGAACAGATCAGAGATCAAGACTGAACACTTGTCCGGCAGCGTCCCAGATGCCATGACACTCCCCTCAACTATCTGTCGCTGGAAATCTGATCAAAGCCCAGCTTCTACAGTTGTGGGCTGCTGTTATAAGGGCATACACTGCGCTAACACAAACTTTCTCATATGGTAAACACCTCACATGCACTCGTCCGCACCAAGATTGAGCATTATTAGGTTTTTGAGAAAAAAACTATCGTCTCTGTAAAAATTGTTCTCAAAACCTACCGTAATCTCCCATATTTATGCCCCTAGTAAAGCCTACTGTCCTGCTCATGCGGTAAACATCATCAAAATTGCCAGCATTTCCTGCCGCTTGTGTGGTGACAAGGTTACAGTCAGCTGCACTATTGAGATAGTGGAGTGCTAAATGGGATCCATCGTTTGCCAGACTTCCCTTGAACAACCTCCACACCCCAGCAGCCATGATGCTGCGCCTGGCTCTTGAATAACTCCTTCCTGGAATGAGCAACCACCTGGTGAGCCCGTATAACCATCGCTGGTAAGTTTGAACCAACTCAGCGCCCTTGGTTTTCAAACGTAGTCTTCAGCTCCTTCAACCACTTTATGACTTTTGAACCGTTTAGCGCCCTTGATTATCGAGCATGGTCTTGAGCTCCTTCAACCGCTGCATGCCCTCACTCATGTAGAACCGTATTTTGCTGATGTCGTTCTCCCCCGCATGCTTCTCTGCTTCGTCTCGTATAATCTTCTGCAGATCAGCTGTTTGGAGCGAAGGAACAAGCAGACAAAGCAGAGGAGATTGGAATAAGCTTTTAGAAGAGAGTAAAAGTGGACCAGGCCAGCACACAGGACCTCTATCTACCAGTCTATTCACCAGTTTCCGTAACAAAGCAGTGCCTTGCCTAGAGCAAGGACTCTTTGGAGCAGCAATGCACCTCGTGATTCCCGAGGAGCGAATTGCGCTGTCCGGAGAGCATCTCGGTAAAGAACCATCACTTTCGCTTGAAGCACCTCTACATTCAGGCGGAGCGTCCCACAGCCCGGAGAGCATCTCGGTGGAGCGCCTTCACCTTCTCTTTAAGCACTAAACGCAGATTCAAAAGTTTCCACGGCGAGCACTAAGCGTAGTACATGGAACAGCAACCGCACCTCGGGATTCAGGCGGCGCGAGTCGCGCAGTCCTGAGAGCATCCCGGTAAAGCGCCTTCGCCTTCGCCTGAAGCACGAAATGCTGCAGCGACAACCCCGTCCGTGGCCTCATGCCTCCGTTAAAATCATCGCCACATGCTCTCGTTAACTGCACATTATCGCAAAGCCAGGTGGCAAGCTCGTGCTGAGGGAGGAATCGCGACACAAAACTAGGAGAACGTTGATGGAGCAGGGTTAGGCTTCGGGTTAGCTTAGTAACCACCTGGCGCGGTAACCGCGTTAGAGAGAGAGTCTGCTATGATCGTTGTATTAGCGATGAATGTTCCGTTTGCTTCATGAGCACTATTCGAGTTTGAAAACTGATAGGTTGAGTTGTGATGCATGGCAGTACTGTGCAGCAAGACGTAGCTACGTTTTCTGTAATTGGCAAACTTACAAGCACTGCACGTTAAAAACGGTTATTGCGGAAGCAGCTTGCGCAACGTAAGAGAGATTCGTTCTGACCTAGGCACTTGCTTCCCCTCCCATTGCTGGTGCTCTTCATCTCTGATAATACCATGGGTCCAATTATACCTAGCAGGACCTGAAAGGAGCAGCAGATCCCCAGGAGCAAGCAGAAGTGGGAGGGATAATTCAATACCATAAGGACGGTGTGATTGAGGCGGAAAACCATAAGGCAGTGGGTAAGAATTACAAGGAGACGGATGATGACTAGGTGAAGAAAGATCACCGAGCCTTGCTCCTTTCTGGGTGTTTCTAGCAGCACTTGATGGTGCAGCTGCAGCATCAGAACAGGGCATTGCTCCACTGGACAAGGAGGGTGGTTCAAGAGGATCGTCGACAGGGGAAGAGGGAGGAGGACTAGCGTTGGCTGTGGGAGTGGCGGCGATGGTGGCGGGGTTGGGGTTGGTGGTAGCAGTGGTGGTGGGGGTGGGGTTGGTGGTGGGAGGAGAGGGATCAAGGGTCATGACGCAGGGTGAGAGGAGGGAGAGGATGGCGATGCCATCGTCGAAACGTAGCAAGTCGACATGTGGCTTGATACCCTGTGCCACGTCAGCAATGGGAGGGCGGATGGGCGAATGCATGCCACATCAGCAACATGTGGGTGGATGCATGGATGCATGGGCGCAGGCCATGTGAAAGATGATGGAGTGGGAAAATGAGGAGAGGGCTTGTGGATAGTGGACATGTGGATAAGGAGGGCATACACGAATAGGAACATGGCGACATGGGGATAGGGGAGGACCTGTGGACAGAAGAGCAGCCTTCAAGGCCAGTGTGATGAAAGAATGGAAAGACAAATGAGTGGATGGGTGGATCGGTGAGTGGCTGAATAAGAGGATGGGAGGATGGCCGAGTGGAAGGATGCGAAGCGAAAAACCTCACCTCGTCTCCACTGTACGAGTTGGCAAGGGCTCTCGCAGCAGCACACGCCGTGAATGGGTGGGTGGGTGAATGGGTGATTGGATGTTCGAGTCAAGGGCAGAGCCTCACCTCGTCTCCACTGTACCAGTTGGCAATCATCTGATCAAACAGGGGCTCTTACAGCACCACACGCCGAGAATGGATGGGTGGGTGAATGGGTGATTGGATGTATGGGAGCATGGGAGGCATGGTCGAGTCTAAAACAGAGTCTCACCTCGTCTCCACTGTACGAATCGGCAATCATCTGGTCGAACAGGGGCTCTCTCTGCAGCACACGCCGTGAATGGGTGAATGGGTGGATGGATGCATGGATGCATGGATGCATGGGAGGAATGGTCAAGTCAAGAGCAGAGCCTCACCTCGTCTCTGCTGTACCAGTTGGCAATCATCTGATCAAACAGGGGCTCTCGCAGCAGCACACGCTGAGACAGCGGCTGCGCTTGCAACTGCTCAGCTTCGTCAGCTTCAGGTCCACCCGCCTGCAATAGCTCACTTCCAACTTTCAAGTCAGTCCCAGGCTTCTCAGGTTCGGCTCCAACAACTCGGTAGAGCTCGGCATTCGCATGCTTGCCTGAAAGCACGTCCTCAAGGCCGTTCACTTCTTGCACTCCTCCCTCCTCTTGCTCCTGCACATCTCTCCTCTCTTCCCTTTTCGACGCATTCTCCAAGTCTCCCTCATGCATTCCTTTCTTCTGCCTTTTCCGACAACAACTCCTCACGTGATCTTCTTCGTCCCCACTTCCTCCCCCCGTCCGTCCCTCCTCACTACCTTGTACAATCAAATCACCCCCACTCCCCTCACCATTCCCCCCTCCTCCACTCTTCTCACGCAGCCCCCTCCCACTGCAAGCAGCACCATCATCCCAACCTGCATCCCTCTCCTCACTCATCACTCCACTGACAGCAATCGCTCCATCCCCTCTAGTAGCTTCTCCATTACACCAGTGCGTGTGAGCCAGATTGCCCACAGCAGCCGCTCTGGAAACTGCTGCTACTGCACCAGCAGTGATAATGGCATGATCAGCCACTGCGGCAGTAGGAGTAGCAGCATGCGTTCTCTGACTCAAAACAGACGCGTCCACGTCAGCACCAACAGCTGCAGTGTCAGCAGCGACAGCATCAGAAGCAGCAGCAGCAGCAGCAGCAGCAGCAGCAGCAGCAGCAGCAGCAGCAGCAGCAGCAGCAGCAGCAGCAGCAGCAGCAGCAGCAGCAGCAGCAGCAGCAGCAGCAGCAGCAGCAGCAGCAGGAACAGCAGGAACAACATCATGAGCAGCAGGAGCAGCAGCAGCAGCAGCAGCAGCAACGGCAGCAGTGAAGACTAGAGCTTGTTCCAAAGCAGCAGCTCGGATAAGCTGGGTCAGGCGAACGGCAATAAGGGGAAGGTTACCAAACCGCATGGCCTGAGGGAGGGATTGAAAGGCAGAGCAAAACGATCCCAACAGCTGAGGGGGTAGAGTGGGGCATTTTGAAGGCTTGACATAGAAAAACGCTGTTCAATAAAAAGAGGAATTAAGATGGCGTTGGCAGATAATATGATGTGGACAATGTGGAACAGACAAGAAACGGTATATACATATATATATATATTTATGTATAAAAATAAATAAATAAACAAATAAATAATTATATATATATATATTGTGTGGATGGGAGCAAATGAGAGATGCATGCATACCAGTGTATGTTGACAATAAAGGCCTACAAAAAATCTTCTCACCTCAATTTTCTTGGAGCGTGTTCAATGTCTTTCACTTCTTTACCTGATTTTTTACTGGTGGGTCGAACCATTTTTCTGACGCATAGCACAGTTTGAACACATGGCATTGTAGAAAGGAGGGACACAGAATGAAGTGAGCTGGAAAGAATATTGAATATATGAAACAGATGCTCCAGTACTGATTTGATCGACCTCAACCCAGAAAAGCTTTGTAAATCCACTGCTATGACATCAAATGCCAGTACAATCGTTTGGGAGAAAACGAAAAACTAGCGTAACTAGTTTGTGCTTGTTTGTCTACCTCGTGCAATAGCATTCAGGACAATGGCTTGCTCCCTCGCTGTAAGAAACGCACGGCACAGCCACAGCCCCTCCACCTCCTCCACACGCGTCCATTCCCGGCTGCCTTGCCCGCTGATACAATCACACTCGCTACACTCACGAAGAGCCACCTGAGAGCGGAACATATGGAATGCGGAACAATTGTAAGCGCGCGGGAAGCCTTGAAAGTGAAATAACAATACGTGACTTTACGAATAACAAAGGATGGTGGCGCGGAATGGCTAAGAGGTCGGAGGAGATAGTCTCAATAAGACAGAGACAGGACGAGCTGGAAGCGGTGGAAAGGGGTGATGCGGGGCTATCGGGTCCAGTACGACGGATTTCACGGAAATAGAGAGTACGGGAGATCATGGGAGACTACGGGAGATTACGGTAGGGCTAGAGAGCGACGCAGGACGCTCGGGTGGTGGTGACGGCGGTCCAAACACGTCATCGAGCAACGAATCTTCCATCGTATTCACAAATCCTTCTTGCTGGAAGAACTGTTGTGACGAAGGGTCAGTAAAATATGACGGAATAGCCGAGTTGTAAGATTCTGCAACTCGTCCTAATCGTTTTCGAAAGCGCTTCTTTCTTGCCTTCGTCCGTCACATCCCTGGATGGCGGTTTCCAGAGTAACATAACGAGCAAACACGAAAGCTTCAAACCAGAAGACGCGAATCGCAATAGGTGCTTCAGACTGGTTGTCACCTACTCGCAGTAGGTGCTGCACAACTTCTTCACATCCGACAAATGCTGCTTTCCAAACTCCAGCTCCAATTTATGGCTGAAGGAGACTCAGAACCCTACACGACCGCTTCAGTATTTGGAGAAATCGTTTAGCAGCACAAGCCATCCTACTGAACCGCACTAAGGCGAACTGGTGTGTTGGCAGAGAGGATCTTTTTGTTTGACGAAAGCATGATACATGGCGAAATCGCGCGCATCGGCGGAAATCGCGTTTGTCTCAGTTGAATCGACCCAAATTGCTTCCCTTTCGCCACGTGGGCGTTTTACTTAATTGGATGGACCTCCTTTCCCCCCGCCCCCCAACCCGTTTTTCCCGCCCTTCCCCGCTGGAATTTCGAAGAATCACAAACAGTCACAGAAACATGCTTTTTCGTAACGCTAAAATTTCAACACGCGAGCGACATTTAATGGACAGAACACTGGTGATTTTCTTCGCGCGCCAAAATGACATGGGTTCTGATTCTTCAATGCTGAATGACGTGCACGCTCGGTTGTGCCAGGAGCCGTTGAGGAACGCACAGTTAGATTTAAAGTAGTACCTTTACGTAATTTCTCCTTTTTCGTATAAGATATAACAGTAGTAAAAAGCTTATTTATTCTGAAATTAGTAAAAGCTTGAGTATAACAACTAGATACAATATGAATTTTCATATGATACTCAGAAATAATATGGTTTTTATTAATTTTATATCACTGAAATAAATGTTTTTTAGAATCTTTGTGTGAATAATATAAAGCATAAAAAGCAAACAAAATATTTACCTAGTTCAAAAATAATAAAAAATTTATTTGCCTTGGAGTGAATATTATGAAAAAACATTAGCGTACAAACAATTAGATGTCGCTCGCAGGTTGAAATTTTAGCGTTACGAAAAAACATGTATTCGAGACTATTTGTGATTCCACAAACTTTTAGTGGGTGCCCAAATTTCGGAGGGAAAGGGCGGGATAAACGGTTTGGGGGGGCGGGGGGGAAAGGGGGTCGATTCAATTGGGAAAAACGCCCACGTGGCGAAGTGTGAGCAATTTGGGTCGATTCTTTTGAGACAAACGCGATTTCCGCCGATGCGCGCGATTTCGCCATGATACATGCTCACGTGTCGAAAAACTCAGTGTAAAGAGCTGTACTGTTCCATTACACAAAGCAATTCTCGGCCTTCAGCATTACTTCTCTCCCATCAGCGCGGGACATTTCGGCAAAATGTTTTCATGGAAACAGAATAATCACAACAATATCTTATTCTCCTATGCTACTTAGGCAGCAAGGCCACGAGAGGTATGCCATACCCCATACCGTTCCAAGCTAAAGAAAGGAAAAGGGTGGAATGTACATGGAAAGACACAAAGAGGAACTTGATGTGAAGTAACTCATCATGGCGACCCATGGCTCGAAATGAGCTTTGGTCAGTGGAACAAGCCCTCTGCGTACGTCCAGGCGTTGTGCACCTTGGGATCCGCCATATGCTCCATCAGGTTTTCAACTGGTCCCTTCCCTGTCACGGCCGCCTGTGCTGCGAATCCCAAAATAGAGAACATGGCCAGCCGCCCGTTCTGAAGCTCCTTGGCCTTGAGCTTCGCCAGCTCAGTTGCGTTACTGCTGTCTGCCAAACCCAGCGGGTCGAAGAACCCCCCTGGGTAAACAGAGCCGCTTGCGTCGCCTAGAGGCCCCCCTGAGACTCGAAACGCCTCTACCGCAGCCATGCCGAGGATTTGGATCGCGCCAATAGCGAGGATGGACTTAGCTGTGCAAAAGTTACAAGATTCGATCAAGCTTGTCGTACTATCAAGGATCGAGCTTCCTAGAGAGTCGATGTTGCTGCCGCCAGCGAGGTGTGAAGATTGAAGTATCCGGAAAGCGGTCTCTGGGACGAGGCACGCGACGACGCCAAGCATAGCCCAGCGCGCGTGAATCACCTGGGAGGAATCCAAGCAGCAGCACCAAAAGATAACACAGGTTTAGAAAGAAACGAAGAAAACGAAGGAACGGGAGCCTAACACGCTGACCTACAGACAGGAAACAGGAGGGTGGTCGAGGAGAGGTGGGGTAAACGTGATGGGTACCTCGAGTGCTGTAGTCTTGGCGAACGACTCAGGATCAACAGATAGTCCCGCCGAGCGCCATCTGCTCTCTTCCGGATATTCGCCAACGAGGAAGGAGAACTGCAGTTCCCCTGGAGAGCTGCGCCATCTGGACACAGCTTCAAGGCGTTCGGCTTCGCCCTTCCAGACGCTGACCGACGACGCAACCCGCGGTCCTACTCGCATGGCGAGCCGAGCTCCAGCAGCGTCGGGTCCTTTAAGGAGCTCTATTCTGGATCCAAGGAACGAGGGTCTGATAGCTGTCGACATGGCTGTTACAGCGGAAGACATCTTGTCGCGTAAGTGCAAATCGGCTGAAGGAGAGGGGCGTCAAACTCTTGCTAGGACCGACAAGACTATGGCAACGAACAGCGTCTGGTGCTGAGACTGCGAGGCTCAGAAACCGTGGTTGCAGCCTTCGAAGGAAACGCCTTGTGTGAAGGTGCGTCAGCATTCTCGATATTGCTGCTCAATTTGTACCCACAACCGAAATGCTGGTTGGTTTTCTGGGGGATGGGGGGCTTGGGGTGTTCAGCAGCAGCATCCACCAGCAAGAGCAGCAATTCCTCAAGCAGCAGCTGATGCGCAACAAGCGGCAACGAGTGGTGCAATGCGTTGCTAGAGGGTGAGGCAGCAACTAGAAATATCCAGAATCTAGGAGTGCTGAATGCTTGATACTGATTGGTGGACGCCTTTCACGATGTTCCCCACCCCTGGCGGCTCGGCGGATCATTCATTTTGCTCCTTCAATGGCTTGGTTCCATCCAGGGTCAGCCTTGGATGGAGTGTGATTTTTTTTTTTTGCAGCGATTTTTTTTAATAATAACATAGATATTTCAATGTAGCACAATTACGTAAGGAAATTGAGTGGGAACAGGAAGAGAAGAGGAAAGGAGGAATAACGTGAGGAGAAAAAAGGAAAGAAGAAGAAAGAAGGAAGGGAATAGGGTGGTGGTCCCATCTCATCTCAACCCAAACGCCAAGCCAAATGAAGAACGAGCCGCTGAACGGAGGCGCATTTGCAATGCGTAATGATTTGGCAGACTCCGATTCGAGGGTTGAAGCGTTGACGAATAGAAATGCAAAAAGCGAACAGCACAGCACAGAGGGAGACGTGAGAGGCTGCTCTCCGCAGCATCTGGATTGCGCTGAGCTCAGACAAAACGGAGGATAAGCGGATATAGTGCCCTTCCTGATGAGCAGGAACTGTAGATAAGGAATAAAACATTTGCCTGATAAAATTACGTTTTCAAGTTGCGAGTGCTGCTAGATAATCTGACAATTCCCTCACAAGGAATGGCTTGTTAAATCTGCGAGCCTGCGGGTCATAAGGGAAAAAAAGGTACACGGAAAATAAAATAACAAAAAGAATAAACAAATAAAAAGCATGAAACAGAACAGTCACTCAACAGCTGTGCAAAAATGTTTGTGCCATACAGATTTCCTTACCTTTTCTACAAGCTGTTGTACAAAATGGCGTTTGTCCACGGGGAAGTCGGGCACCGAGAGAAGAGCAAAGAGCTGCAGGGATCCAACAGGAAGGTGAGGCTTTGTTAAAATACTTTGAAACATTCCATACATACAGAACATTCCTTATAAATGCATCCCTCTTACCTGCTTCGTGTTGTTGGGACGTGCGGACCGCAGCACCCGGTAAATCGACAGCAGAAAATCCACCACCTCCTCCTGATCCCTCTCATTGCCAGCTGGCGTGCGCACAGTGCGCCAGCGAGGATTGCCCCTCCGCATTGCCAGCGCGACAACATCCTCCTGCTCCTCCACCCTCTCCTCCAGCCCCACATCCACCGTCCAATCCCGTGACTCCCCCTCCGCTATCACCCTCCGCCGCTTTGCACCTCTTCCCCTACCCTCCATTCCTCCCGTACCCTCCGTTGCGCCTCTACCCTCCCCTGGCCCTCTTCCCTCTCCTGCTACACCCCTGTCTCCTATCTCCTCTGCTACCCCTGTTTGTCTACACTCAGAAACCCCTCCTACCTCTTCCCCCTGACCTGGGCCTCTCTGCTCTCCTGCTGCCGCTTCTCTGGGCCATTGCATGGCCTCCTGCTGTCGCCTCTCCATCGCTTGTGCCGCCCGGTAACAGCTCTCTGGCATGAACAGTGGATGGCTGAGCTCGTGTCGTTTTTCTTCTTCCACTGTGGCTGAAGAAACAGCAGGGCCAGTGGCAGCAGAGAAATCTGGTGGTGTAGCCAGCACAGCACTACTGGGAGCATCTGCAGAAGCAGCAGCAGCTACAGCACCCCTTCCTGACTCAACACGACCTTCTTCCATAACTGAATCTGTAGGCGCTGCTGTGGCTCCTGCTTTAGCTGGTTTTGCAGTGGTGTGAGAGGATGGGGCAGCTGCTCCAGGTTTCCCAACTGTTGCTCCTGCTGCTCCTGCTGCTCCTGCTCCTGCTGCGGTTGAAACAGGGCGAGAACCAGAGGCACCAGTAACATTGCCTGGTGCTGCAGAAGAAACAGCTGAAGCAGCAGCAGCAGGGGGCGCTGTTGCTTCCAAACCGCTGCTGTGAGTGGCTGGCCGCACAGAAGCAGCGACCCCACCAGGCCTTGAGGCTCGGTTGGCTTGGGGTATGGCCGGGGCTGATGGCGAGGCTTGGACAGGCACCGCACGGGGTGACGTGGAGGACAGGGGCGGACGGGGAGATGGAGAGGACGAGGGAGTGTGAGAGGGAGGAGGGGAGGGTGAGGAAGGAGGAGAGGGGTGAGGTGACACAGGGGGCGATGGTGATGGGGGCGCTGGGGATTCTGACCGCCGCCGCCGTTTCTGAGAGCGAGCAAGGGCAAGCACAGTGGGAGAAGCAGCACCACTGGCACCAGCAGCACTGTTAGGACTAGCAGCAGCAGCCCCACCACCACCAGCAACACCACCAGCGCCGCCAGCAGCAGCGCCAGATAAGCCTGCACCAGATGAGCCTGCACTGGCGGGTGGGCCTCCACTAGGTGCGCCTGGGCTCTGGTCGTCCAGGCGCAGGAATGCCTCGTTGGCTGTGGGCAGCTCTGGCTTGTCCTGGCGGTACGGGTTGCCAAAGGCCGTCCGTGCTGCCTTGATGCGATCCTGATCGTCGATCTGGTATAAGGGAAGCGGAAAGCAGGGTCGGGGAAGGAGGTGGATGGGATATGGGATGAGATTGTGGAATGAGCTAGCATTGATCATTCCACCATTGTTCTTGAATTGACTCAAAAGGAATGCTGCCTTGTTTAGCGCTACCCGGTGCATGACTTGCTTGCGATGCGCACGTAGCAACGATGCTGACAGTCTAACAGCAGCCCGCACACACATCAGCCTTAAGAACTGGTAGATGCAGGACCCCACTTCACTTGACACAACTAGCACACGCACGACTAGCGCACTCTCATATGACACTCTGTCATTGTGCATTCATTGGAGCTGCGGAATATTGTGCATGCACAGGGGCATGGAGCGTACATAGGGGTTGCGAGGTGGTTGCTGACGCTGGAGCGCGTCGTTAAAGTCGCCCATCTGATGCACACAGGCAAGGCACGGATGGCAAGGAGGGCAAGGAGGGAGGAGGAGATTCGAAAAAAGAAAAAGAGAACGGAAGGGGCCTAAGTCTGGGGCCCCTCAAAAGCTGCTGCGGTAAATGGGAGAAGCCACAAAAACACCCGAGTTGTCCAGGGCCAAAAAGGGAGAAGGGTGGTTAAGGTGAAGGTCAAGGGGGGAGGGGGGGACTGTAAAAAGATAAATGGGTTGGAGAAGATTGGACTGTAGTGTTGATTACATTAGAAAGGGAGAAAATTGAATGGCATCGAGAAAAGTCGAGAGAACATCGTTTCAAGTGTTCCGAGCTTTACACAGTCTTAGCTTAATGAGCATTGAATCTCAGAGGCACCTTTTCAATGCTGACGGTGTGCTTTGCTTCCTCCTCTGCCAGGAGCGCCCACTTCCCCACCGCACCAATCAGAGAGCGCCACCTGTCAATGTCATATCCACCAGTGAACCACGGCGCTGCCGCCTTATTTTTTGTAGAAGCAGCAGCAACAGCGCCAGCCGCTGTTCCTCCGTTTGGCCGACCCCTCCCCCCTCCCTGCAGAACCCTCTCCTCCTGAATTGGGTCCAATGGAGCTGCTGCTTCTCCCTTCACCACCCCTTGCCCAGCCCTCGCCACCCCTGGCCTTCCTGCTGTGCCTGCCACCCCTTCATCCTGTGACGGCGTGGGTCGATACGCAGCAGATGGTTTTCCAGGTTCCAAGGCACGGCTGCTGCTGCTGAGAATGGCAGCCAGGCGAAGGGGCAGCTGAAGCACTTGCCTGGAGGGGTGGGGGGCGAAAAGAGAGGAATTAAAGGGTGGAGGGCGACGACAACCATGATGCATCATGCTCTCATTCTTAATAAAAGCCCTAAGCAGGCGTTTAAAAAAAAAGAAGCAAGCTGTGCTTTATGTATGGTTACTCAACCCTAGTGAAACGGTTGAGTCCTAACAACCCTAAACCTAAGACCCTGACCCTGATGAAGGGACGAATCTCTACGCCTGAACCGAGCCCTGGTGGAGAGATGAAACCCTTAACCCTGAAATCTAGGGTTTAGCGATGAAATATGAAGGCACATCGCACAATGATGGAGTGACAAAACCCTTAACCCTGGAATCCCGATGAAGCGATCAGATCCAATCCACATTCCAAAATCTGAACGGGTCTATTTGAAAAACTGCAAATGGTGCCACTCACCTGTTCCCTCCTCTAACCGCCCTCACCCCCACTATACTACCTCTCCCTCCACACTCACCCTCGTTCTCTTCTCTCTATCTACTTTTCCCTCTACACCCAACCCCACCCACACTCACCGCAAAGAATCCTCTCGAGAAACTTCACACGGGTTTGTGAAGATGGTTGCTGCTCGCCCTTGCCCTGCCCCCGGCACCTCACCACCCCCTGAACCTGCCCCTGATCCCCCTGCAGGAGCACCAGCAGCACCAGCACCAGCAGCACCAGCAGCACCAGCAGCACCAGCAGCACCAGCAGCACCAGCAGCACCAGCGGCATATGCACCACCAGTATAAGCACCACCGCTGTAAGCACCAGCCTCCCAAGCCTCCACAGCTCCAGGGAGGGACTGAGGGACAGATGGAGCGAGCAGATTGGTGGAGGCAGGGGGGGGAAGGGAGTGAGAGGCGGAGGGCGGAGGAGGGATGGGGAAGACAGGGAAGGAGCGTGGAGGTGGTGGGGGGGGTAGCAGCTGCACCACTCTCTGCTGCTGCAGCTGCTGTAGTTGCTTCTGCTGCTGCTGCTGCTGCTGCTTCTGCTGATTTGGTTTGTCAGAGGGAAATTGAACAACACTGAGAGGGGCGATGGAGGGTAGAGCCAGAGGGACCTTGAAGGAGAGTGTGGGCAGAGGAGGGGGGCGGGCAGCAGCAGACTGAGCCATTTGATTGGCCGTCTGCAAGCAGGTGGGCAGGGCAGATCAAACGGGTTGGGAGAAGGAAAAGGGCTTTATGTTGTTTTGGAGTTGTGAAAGTCATGAGGCTGATTTGCTTCACATGTGCTAAAATGATGGAATTATTCCCAAATCACATAAGGCACGCAGGTATAGAGAGTGCCGATAGACTGCTCAGGCACTTAAAAAACAAATGAGTGGCAACTGAAAAAAAAAAAGGAAAAAACAGACGAAACAAAAACAAAAACAACAACAACGACAATAACAAAAGGGGTACCTTCGCAATCTCCTGCATCCGCTCTTCAACCTCCCCTTTGGCCTTTACCCGCCACCGCCGAAGCTGCGATGCCACCGGACCTGCTGCCAGGCTGGCATCCATCACGTCCGGTACCGCCGCGCCTGCGGCTGACACGCCGAGCCTGCGAATCGCGGATCGGAGCGGGGCGGCGTAGTACGGAGGCACGCCGGCGCAGTAACGCTCAAAGTCGTGCCGCCAGCCGGCCGGCGGGGAGGCCCTTGTATGGGGCGGCATTCGTTGGAGTTGCTCTATGAGAGGGAACAGCACCTGGATGAAGAGGGTGGAGGTGGAGTGGAGGGCACAAGTGACAACACAAGACAACACACATGAATGGAGAGGAGAGGTCAATAACAGCTCTGGCCGGTGGGTTGAAATTGGGATACCGGGAGGTGCAAGGCGAGGTGCAAGGCGAGGGCTTAATCAAAGCTTGAATGGAGCAAACAGCGTTGAATTGTCAAGCAGGGGATTAGCAGGGGATTAGCAGGGGGTTCCTCCGAGCAATAAGAAAGGGCTTGAACACTGACAGGGTAGTTGTAGGGAAGAACGTGCAGTGTGAGCGAGCTGCCTGGGCGGTTCACTCTGAGGTATCTGCCGGCACGCAGGCAAGGGTGCATGGCATGGACGCATGGGGGCACGCAGGCAAGGGCACATGGCATGGATGGAGGCATGGGGGCATGTGGGTGGGTGTGCAGGAGGCATGGGGGGCGTGGGGTCACAGCGTGCACAAGACATGCAGAGTCAAGTCAAGTGGCCATGATTGCAATGTGTGAGTGAGCATGTCGACCCACGCAAGAATCAGGGTGAACAGAAGCACACACAGGCATGTGTGAGACGTCAAGTCAACCACATGCTCTGGCGAAGCAACGAATCTGGGGCGCCATGGAGGAGAGACTCACCCAAACGGGTCACCCAGGCCGTTCCGCAGACCCTTGCTCCCTCGCATGAACACCTGCCGACACGCATCCACGCAACACAAGCATGCCCACATGCACACACACGTGCGCATACGCATGCACGCACGCACACCCACATTGGTTGTTGTGGAGCTCGAGGACAATGAGAAAACCCTTCGTCTTAGCACCAGACCCATGCCCCCTCCCATGTGGACATTATGCGAGCACGCAGGAACGCATGCATTCACATCCTGCTTGCTTGCTTCCTTGCAAATTGGCGTCCTCGCTCGCTGAACAACCACCTGTGAAGCAACCACCTGCCCCGATCCCACCTGCCCCCATCCCACCTGCCCCCATCCCACCTGTCCCATCCCACTTGCCCCCATCCCACCTGCCCCATCCCACCTGCCCCAATCTCACTCACCTGCCAGCACACGTTGGGCCCCGCCTTGCTGAGGAACCCCAGGATGGGGCACCCTTCAATCTCGTACTTGTCCACTGGTATTCCGGGCGGCACGCGTGCGTCTGTATCCACTGCCCGATACGTTATCACCGGGTGGGGTTCACGCGGAGGAAAGAGAGGAGGAACGATAGGAGGGCCGGAGGAGGTGGTTGTGGCACCTGGAGTTCCTATAGCCCCTCTCTCTCCTCTCTCCCCTCGCCCTGCCTCGCCCTGTGCCTGCCCTGCTCCTGCTGCCCCACCACCAGCAGCAGTAGCAGGACTGGGAGTGGTAAAATCCGGCCAGAATGCTTCAGGTATGGGCCAAACCACTGGAGGAGGTCCGGGCCCCGGCTGCGGCGGTGCCAAGCCTAGCTGTCCTGCCAATCCTGCTGCTCCTGGGGCGGCCAATCCAGCTGCCGAGCCTGCAGGTCCGGCAGTGGGCAGGTTGCGAACGAATAGTAGCTTTCGTTGGCATGCAGCGTGGACTTGGGGCGGCATGGGAGCGCCGCCCGGTAGTGGCACATGGTCGAATGAGACGACGACAGCTGGCGAGAGGCGGGAGGCGACAATATCTAGGTGCTGGAAGAGCATCTTCCAGCTGGTTACCACACTGCACTTGCCACTGCATGGCGGGGTTACACGCAAAGAGACAGCACGAATGAAGCATGAACGGTTGAACATTTCAGGAAGAGAAAGCGGGGAGTTTCAGCAAAACACAGGGTGCGATGGGAGAATAACGGGCAGTTTCCAACAGGCACGCATGCCACAAAACCGGAAACTCACCAGCACATCCTTTCATCCTACACTCGCCACACGCCACACAAACAAACTTACTCACACAGACCCATGCCACACAATCACTCACTCACTCACACGCAGAGACGCCACACAAGAACACCCACCACACACCCTCCCACGCACCCGGTGGCTTCACAAAGCGCGGATACACTTGTGTCGACAGCCACAGCAGCCGGAGATTCCGAGATGGGGCCAGCAGCAGGCAGAGGGCCCATCCTCTCAAGGTGGTCAGGCTTGGCGCTGGGGATGCGCAGGATGGTGGCGAGCACGCGCTGCTCCCACCGGAACGGCTGTGAGGCCAGCTCGCCGCCTAGTGGAGGGGGCGTGGCGTTTGATAGCAGAGCCAGACTCGTTGACACTCCTCCAAACCGCTGTGCACGCACAGGGGTTTGGGTGGGTGAGGGAAGAGTAACAGATTAGGGAAAATGGGGACCCGCTGGTTTGGGGAGGGGAGAGCCAGGTTTGTTGACACATTATACCACTGCACTGCAGAAAGGGGGTTGTGGGAGGCGCGGGGAAGCGGGGGGTGCGTGTGTGGGGGAAGAGGAAACGATTGGGGGAAAGAAGGGCTCTCTGGTTAGGGGGGCGTGCTACTGCTGCTGCCGCCGCCGCCAGTGGGGTATTGATGTTGTTTCAGTCAAGGCTGGACAGCGTTTTGAAAAAGGGGCAGGCAGACATAACAATGTGAAACGGGTGTCGTCGGTGAGAAGCAGGAGAACCGTTGAGCCTGCTCAAAATTCACCTCAGTAGATCAAATTTGTGTTATTGTTCACTGGCTTGGGAGAGCAGGCATGGCGGGACGTACCGTTGTGAAGTGCGTGCCATCGGTGAGAAGCATGACGACCGTCGGATCCACGGCGGCGAGATTGCGACCCATGCCTGGCGGTGGGGGGGAGGGGGTGGGGGAAAGGGAGTGGCGCAAAATGGCGGATGGTTGACATGATAACGCAGGGGTGCAAGGAGGAAGTATGAACCGGCAAGCCACACTAGCAGCAACTGTGTCTCGAGAGTAATGAGTCGACCCTACCCAACAACCTCTCGAGCACAATGGCACACAATCAATATCACAAATTGCACGCACGGCGCGCCACACTCACCCCATCGGTCAACGTCTGCTGCGAGGCGCTGGGTGTGCAGCAGGTCAAACGTGGCGCGCAGTGATTGGCCGATGGACGAGAGACCTCCCACCTTGACGGCCTTGAGGACCCGCAGGAAATTGGTGAAGGGGAAGCGGTCCACCACCTGGGGGAGTGAAGGGCGAGAAAAAACGGTTAGGAATGAGGGTGAAGACTCACAGAGGATTGGCGAAGGGAAGGGAGTTGAACACCTGAAGCAGTAGAGAGCGCAACAGGGTGAGAGTAATGATAGTTTTCCCATAAGGCCAGCACATATGCTCTCTGCATATGCGTACATTGGAAAGAGTTGGAACGAGGCAGAAGGAGGCGAAGTGCGGTAGAGAAAAGAAAGCGGATAACAGCAAACGCACCTTGATTGCAGATGCACCTTCGTCACATGTCACTAGTATGTACCTGGACAAGAATCGGAAGTCAAACATTTTGAACAGTCATGCATGATAAATTCCAACAGTCACGCACGAAGAATTGAAGTGATGCAAATAAAAGAGGTAAAAAAGGGTAAAACAGCAGGTTTACCTATCCGCTCTGGAAGAGATGTCTCGCTGCCGAACCTGCAATGCAACACAAGGCAGCAATGAAAAGACCAGCCGTGGCAAGAATTAAGAACCTCTCTGAACGTTGAGCAAGGGCAGGGTTACATTTACACTCAAATACTGCTGAAATACGTTGGGGCCGAGCTAGACAAAAGGGTTTTTCTTTGTCCTACCTTATGGAAGTGTCCTACCTATTGTAAAAGTGTTCGACCCACCTTGTGAAAGTGTTCGACCCACCTTATGAAAGTGTTCGACGCCGCTCTTAGCGCAGTCGAGCAGCGTGAGCCCGTTGGCGATCCGCTGGCCCATGGACGGACTCGTGTCCACCACGAACACCAGCAACATGGTGGCCGGACGTTGATCAGACGATGGAGTAAGAGTGGAGCGAGGATTGGACACGATGAAACGCTGTTCGAAAGTCGCCTTAGAAGACCCACGGACTCGTGTCCACCACGAACACCAGCAACATGGTGGCCGGACGTTGACCAGACGATGGAGTACGAGTGGAGCGAGGATTGGACACGATGAAACGCTGTTCGAAAGTCGCCTTAGAAGACCCACGGACTCGTGTCCACCACGAACACCAGCAACATGGTGGCCGGACGTTGATCAGACGATGGAGTAAGAGTGGAGCGAGGATTGGACACGATGAAACGCTGTTCGAAAGTCGCCTTAGAAGACCCACGGACTCGTGTCCACCACGAACACCAGCAACATGGTGGCCGCCGAATGACGAAGTAAGTAAGAGTAGAGCGAAGATCGAGTAAGAGCTAGACGGGGATTTGAATGAGAGGTAGAAGCTGTTTGAAATCGCCTCAGAACATCCACGGACTCGTGTCCACCACGGGCAAGAGCAGCACGGCCGCCGAACGACGACCAAACGAGAGTAAGACTATGAATTGTTTCTAGGGGGTTGACGAGGATTGTACGGGAGACAGAGGTGGGACGGGTGGCTTGTGACTGGCTTGAAAACGGCCCAAAACTAGACGCTGATGGGGTGCGGAGTACGGTGAAAGCGTGAGATTTGAAGCGCAAATTCGGTGAGAGCTACACTTGATCCCGAAGATTCTGAGTTCAATAGATTCCACCGAAAAGATGTTGATGAGCTAGCAGTGAACGGTAATGGGACGGTTCGGAACACGGACAAGCTGGAGTCTACCACGCGAGCTGAAGGTGAGGGAATCGCAATCTTCAGGTGCTGAATCTGCTCACGTCAGAAGAATTTCGAGTGATCAAAACGAGCGGAAAAACGAAATGGCTGGTTGCTAACCAGCTCCGAAAACCGATCCCGTGACGATCGTCTTTCTAAAGAGGGAATTCGATAAGGTCACGGCGAGCATCCGACAGACGGCCCCTGAGTCAACTTTAAAACGGATGAAAATAAGAATGCACTGCAGCAGCAATGCTTCAGTCAAATCTAGATGGAAGAGAAGGCAGAGCATGTAAAATAGACGACTTGCACGAATTGCAAGTCGTCAGCAATTCCTGAGCTCACACTACGAGCGACACGCCACTAGCCTACAACCAGGTAAAGCTGGAAATGAGGGGCGAGGAAGGACCGAAGGTGTAGGGACGATGCAGCGCCATGCACTACTAATTGTTCTGGAAAGAATACGCCTGCAAAATATCAGCCAATTTACTACACAAGGACCCCCACTCACACTAATCCTCAGTTTTCTACCTCCAGTCTAGTCCGGCAGGCACGGTATTGCCTTCGCCTTGAGAATTAGTTGATATGGTTGGGATCGGCTAAATGCGGTGGTTCGGGTTACGGGATGCATGGATGATGGCGGCTGGTGGTGGCTGGCGGCAATCCCAAGGGAACAACGGAGCAGATGGAGGGGGTGAGGAGTCACGCGTTATGGCAAGGGAACCGGACCAGACCAGACAGGAACAGCCTTGAAGGTCGAGGTTGTGTTGAAAAAGAGCTGGCAAAGGTGTCAGGCTCATATGGCACGATTTGGAGCAGGCGTTCCCCTCGGAAGTTCTTCGCTACTGGTGGTTCACTTACGAGGAGTTCCATGAACAGATCAGATTTTGGTCAGTTCTGTGACATATATGACTGTAAGCAGAATCAAATCTACTTGGTCAGTTCTGTACTAAAATATTTTAGGATGTACCCCCGACTTGTAACCTTTTAATCGTAGTTCAAATCACACAACGTGTTCAGTTTCAGGAATATAAATGGGCAGTACCGGCACCATCACATGGATTTTCTCAGAACTGTCACATACGAGGTGCGAAGGAAGGCGGGCCACGAGCTTCCAAAGCTATCACTGAAAATGCCTCCATATAATATGGTGATGATACTCTGCACAACATGCAGACAATATTACAGGGAATTAACCATGAACAAGAATAGCACCAAATGAGATGTTAAGTTTTATCACCAACACCCAAACATGCAAAAGTAAACACACTCCTGAGCTCCCATTTTCTTGCACTCCGTGTTGCATTGGTTACTCAGTATTGTCACATACCTCCCAGCGATGGATGGAGGCATGCCTTGGGCCGGTAGCTCTGTGGTGTCAGCCGGATAGTCCTTGGCCGTGTCCAGAACAAGGTGCCTGCCATGCCATGCACCACATGTCATGCACCACATGCCACACCACGTGCCATGCACCACATGCCATGCACCACATGCCATGCACCACATGCCATGCACCACATGCACCACATGCCATGCACCATGTGCCTTGCACCACATGCCATGCATCACGTGCCATGCACCACGTGCCATGCACCACGTGCCATGCACCACATGCCATGCACCACATGCCATGCACCACATGCCATGCACCACATGCCATGCACCACATGCCATGCACCACATGCCATGCACCACATGCCATGCACCACATGCCATGCACCACATGCCATGCACCACATGCCATGCACCACATGCACCACATGCCATGCACCACATGCGGTGAACCAGATGCCATGCAGCACGTGACATGCACCACATTCCATGCATAACATGCCATGTGCCCCACCCATGCAAACACATGCCATGTCACATACCCATGCCATGTGCGAATTGCACATACGTCACATAGGCATACATCACATGCCCACGTGCCATGTGCAGACATTCACATATATTAAAATCAGCAGCTCACAAAGCATGGGTGTGAAAACTTGATTCACATGGCATGGGTTACGGTTGATGGTCGGGCTGGGTCGTGACTTGAGCTCACGCCTCGTGCCTCACAAGTCGTGAGTAACCTCGACCTTACTTGTGTGAGGCCGGAGAGCTCATTGGGGCAGCCAGGGAGCTCCCAGGGTCCTTACCACATCATGCCAACCGGTGGTGCCGGCAGCTCCACAATCATCTCATTCGCATGGGCATTGAAGGAAAAGTAGAGATCACCAACCGGCATGCTGGGTGCTCAGCCTTTGAGGCATCTCAACAGTCGTGAGTAAGTTCGACCGTACTTACCACATCATGCCAACAGGCGGGGCAGGCAGCTCCACAATCATCTCATTCGCATGCGCGTTGAAGGCGAAGTAGAGATCGCCAACCGGCATGCTGGGTGTTACAGCCGGGGCAGCAGTGGTAACCGGCACTCCTGCCTCCTCTGCTGCCTCTTTAGCCGATGCCTCAATGCCGGCACTGTGAATGGTGCAGGCTAGGAAGCAGCTGGAGGGGTGGGGGGAACAAGGGTAGAAGACGAGGAGAAGGACGCAAGGGGTGTGGTTCACGAGGCAGCACAATATTTTTTCTTGGATGATGGCTCAACGCTGGTACTATGATTGGTGCAGGCTAGGAAGCAGCTGGAGGGGTTGGGGGGGACGAATGGTCTGAGGAGATGGTAAAGGGAGGATGAGCAAAGGTTGTTCAGGTGTGCCGCAGGTACTGCTGCTGGTGCTGCCGGTGAGAGCGGGTAATGAAAGAAAGAAACGATTGAAAAAGGACAAAAAAAGAGAGCCAAGCAGTAAGGGAGAGAAGTAGGAAATTGTAGAAGTCGAAGGGGCTAGTGTGTGGAGAAAGAATCTGTTTTTGAGGCGCCTCAAAGGGGCTAGTGTGTGGAGAAAGAATCGGACTGTGTACTCTGGAGGCACAATCTGACTGTGTACCCTGGACGCACAGCCCGTGTAACGAGTTTCAAACCATACCATCAGCAAGGTTCAGCGGATCGAAGCCAACTGATTCCATCCAGTCATCGGCAAGGTTCGGCTCGGAGCGTACCAGTTTGGGTTGTCCCATTCGGGCTGGTTGGGGAACGCGCCGTGCCACACTATGTCCTCCCCGAAATAAAAGTCCTTGCGCTGCCATGGGGATGGGGATGCGGATGGGGATGGGGATGCGGATGGGGATGGGGATGGGGAGATGGAAAGAAGGAAGAGATAACTGTGCAGACACTCTAGCACATGCTCAGACACTCTAGCACATGCTCAGACACTCTAGCACATGCTCAGACACTCTAGCACATGCTCAGACACTCTAGCACATGCTCAGACACTCTAGCACATGCTCAGACACTCTAGCACATGCTCAGACACTCTAGCACATGCTCAGACACTCTAGCACATGCTCAGACACTCTAGCACATGCTCAGACACTCTAGCACATGCTCAGACACTCTAGCACATGCTCAGACACTCTAGCACATGCTCAGACACTCTAGCACATGCTCAGACACTCTAGCACATGCTCAGACACTCTAGCACATGCTCAGACACTCTAGCACATGCTCAGACACTCTAGCACATGCTCAGACACTCTAGCACATGCTCAGACACTCTAGCACATGCTCAGACACTCTAGCACATGCTCAGACACTCTAGCACATGCTCAGACACTCTAGCACATGCTCAGACACTCTAGCACATGCTCAGACACTCTAGCACATGCTCAGACACTCTAGCACATGCTCAGACACTCTAGCACATGCTCAGACACTCTAGCACATGCTCAGACACTCTAGCACATGCTCAGACACTCTAGCACATGCTCAGACACTCTAGCACATGCTCAGACACTCTAGCACATGCTCAGACACTCTAGCACATGCTCAGACACTCTAGCACATGCTCAGACACTCTAGCACATGCTCAGACACTCTAGCACATGCTCAGACACTCTAGCACATGCTCAGACACTCTAGCACATGCTCAGACACTCTAGCACATGCTCAGACACTCTAGCACATGCTCAGACACTCTAGCACATGCTCAGACACTCTAGCACATGCTCAGACACTCTAGCACATGCTCAGACACTCTAGCACATGCTCAGACACTCTAGCACATGCTCAGACACTCTAGCACATGCTCAGACACTCTAGCACATGCTCAGACACTCTAGCACATGCTCAGACACTCTAGCACATGCTCAGACACTCTAGCACATGCTCAGACACTCTAGCACATGCTCAGACACTCTAGCACATGCTCAGACACTCTAGCACATGCTCAGACACTCTAGCACATGCTCAGACACTCTAGCACATGCTCAGACACTCTAGCACATGCTCAGACACTCTAGCACATGCTCAGACACTCTAGCACATGCTCAGACACTCTAGCACATGCTCAGACACTCTAGCACATGCTCAGACACTCTAGCACATGCTCAGACACTCTAGCACATGCTCAGACACTCTAGCACATGCTCAGACACTCTAGCACATGCTCAGACACTCTAGCACATGCTCAGACACTCTAGCACATGCTCAGGGACTCTAGCACATGCTCAGACACTCTAGCACATGCTCAGACACTCTAGCACATGCTCAGACACTCTAGCACATGCTCAGACACTCTAGCACATGCTCAGACACTCTAGCACATGCTCAGACACTCTAGCACATGCTCAGACACTCTAGCACATGCTCAGACACTCTAGCACATGCTCAGACACTCTAGCACATGCTCAGGGACTCTAGCACATGCTCAGACACTCTAGCACATGCTCAGACACTCTAGCACATGCTCAGACACTCTAGCACATGCTCAGACACTCTAGCACATGCTCAGACACTCTAGCACATGCTCAGACACTCTAGCACATGCTCAGACACTCTAGCACATGCTCAGACACTCTAGCACATGCTCAGACACTCTAGCACATGCTCAGACACTCTAGCACATGCTCAGACACTCTAGCACATGCTCAGACACTCTAGCACATGCTCAGACACTCTAGCACATGCTCAGACACTCTAGCACATGCTCAGACACTCTAGCACATGCTCAGACACTCTAGCACATGCTCAGACACTCTAGCACATGCTCAGACACTCTAGCACATGCTCAGACACTCTAGCACATGCTCAGACACTCTAGCACATGCTCAGACACTCTAGCACATGCTCAGACACTCTAGCACATGCTCAGACACTCTAGCACATGCTCAGACACTCTAGCACATGCTCAGACACTCTAGCACATGCTCAGACACTCTAGCACATGCTCAGACACTCTAGCACATGCTCAGACACTCTAGCACATGCTCAGACACTCTAGCACATGCTCAGACACTCTAGCACATGCTCAGACACTCTAGCACATGCTCAGACACTCTAGCACATGCTCAGACACTCTAAGAAAGATATCATTTGTTGAACTTCAGCATGCTCAGGCACTCAAGCACATGTGTGCTAGAGTGTGATCAGTACACTCTAGCACACGCAGCATCAAGCAGCAGATTTCAAATCACCCCTCTCCCATCCCTTCTCCACACTCTCATCTGCAGCAGCAGCAGCATGCAGCACGCTTCAGTCAACCCCCTCTCCTCCCCTCTCCTCCCTCTCCTCCCCTCTCCTCCCCTCTCCTCCCCTCCCCTCTCCTCCCCTCCCCTCTCCTCCCCTCCCCTCTCCTCGCGTCACCTGCAGCAGCAGCGTGCGGCGGCGGCGGAAGTTGGCAAGAGAGGCAATGAAGCGAGAGAGCTGCACTCCCAGATCCGTACGCAGGGCGCTCCAGAGAAAGGGGGACTCGCTGGGAGGGAGGGAGGAAGGCAGGCAGCAAGGAAGAAAGAGAAAGTGAAGAGGTGAGAAAGGCTACACTCTCAGACCCGAGTGCAGGCAGGCAGGCACACAGGCAGCAAGGAGCGTTCAAAGTAGCATCGAGGTGAGGATGCGGGAAGGGAAGAGAGAAGGAGTGAGTGCTGTGTGTTCCAGTGGAGAGGGTGGGAGGGCGGGCAGGCGGGCACGCAAGTTGGCAGGCCGGCTAACAAGCAAGTGCGGGGCGGCAGAGGAGGGCACTGACGAGTAATCTGCTGCCAGCTGTGCGGCCTTGGAGTGGCCGTACTCGTCGCCAGCTGTCAGCACCGGCACACCCAGCGAGAGGAAGAGTACAGCCAGGTGGTTGCGCACCTGGTGGGGAGGGGGAGGGGCAGGGACAAGCGGAGGGGACGGAGACCAGGAGTGAGTGAGGGCGGTTGAGGGCAGTTGAAGTCGGTTGAGGTGCCTTCCAACACCCCCAGCGAGAGGAAGAGTACAGCCAGGTGGTTGCGCACCTGGTGGGGAGAGATGGGGGGAGGAGGGGGGGAAGGGGGAGGAGATGGGGGACCAGGAGTGAGGGGGGACCAGGAGTGAGGGAGGGCGGTTGAGTGAAGGATGCCGAGGCAGGAACGAGTATAAGTGAGGGAGGTGGGGTGTGGGGGACCGGGAGGCGGGGAAGGACGTAAGGGGGAGGGGAGACGAGCAGTGGGCAGTGGCGCGGCAGGGACGAGTGGAGGAAGCACAGCAGGCAGGGAGGCAGGCCCACCCTCAGCCCCCACTCTCTCTCCCTCACCCGTCCCAGTCCTCACCTGTCTCTGTCTCAACCTGTCTCAGCCCGCACCTGATTAAGTTTTGTCCTCATTACCCCCTCATCTGCGCTCACTCCCTCTATGTCACAGTTCAACCCGTCTCAGCCCCACCTGTCCCCGCGCTTCACCCTCACTTCGCCCCACCTGTCCCAATCATCCACTCTGTCCCAAGCCGCACCTGCTTCATCCCCACCTGTCCCAACCCGCACCTGCTTCATCCCCACCTGTCCCAACCCGCACCTGCTTCAGCCGTGTCCTCGTGACCCCCTCATCCGCGCTCACTCCCTCCACACCACAGTTCCAGCTACACAAGACAAGACAGCATGACAGGGAGGAAAGTAACGGGATTTGAGGCGCCTAGGAGACATCAACCAACACATGGGGACACAGAGAGCGCGTGTGTGCATGGGTGTGCGTGCATGTCTGCTAGAGCAGCCAAGCCAAAGCCCACCTGGCCTCTGACTCCACGCTGTAGCTGACGAGGTCCGCCAGAGTGAGCCCCTGGAACGCCAATTGAGGCTCCTAAAGCATCACATGTTAGGGTGTGTGTGTGCGTCAATGTGTGTGTGTATGATAAGCTCCACAGCAGCCAAGCCAAAGCCCACCTGGCCTCCGACTCCACGGTGTAGCTGACGAGGTCCGCCAGAGTGAGCCCCTGGAATGAGGTGATGTAGTTGAAGGCGAACGCTGGACCCCTCCCTGAGAAGAACAGGTCGCCACTGGAAGGGGGGAGGGGAATGGGGAAGGGGGGAACGGGGGGAAGGGGAAGGGTGGGAGAGAGGGAAAGTGGGAGAGGGTGAGCCGTTGGAGGGTGAGCCATTGGAACACAGTTATGTTGTTGAAGGGGAAGGCTGGGCCTCGCCTTGAGAAGAAGAGATCACCACTGGGAGCAGTGCAAGCGAGCAGGAGGAAGAGGAGAGAGGTGGAAAGGTAGAGGGAAAGCAGGAAGAGGAGAGGAGGTAGGGGAGAGGGAGAGGCCTTGGATTGGAAGATATATGGAGGCTTACGTTGAGAGAGACTGTTATTTACAAAAGCTTTGGAATGCTGGGTTGGGGAGGATTACTGTTGATTGAGAGCCACCCTTTTAAATAAAATAAAATATAAAATAAAATAAAAATCCAGCGGGTCCGAGTGAATCTGAGTGACTCTTCAGAAATCTATGATAATGAGAGCCACTCGGAAAGCCACTCGGAGGAACGCACCTGCCGCACAGCCGGGTTGCCAGGCCGCTGATCTGCCCTGGCTGCCCGGAAACAAATCTGCGGATGTCGAAGCAGAAAGCACTGTTCATCTCCTGCCACCGCTTCCAGTGGGGGAATGCAAAGGCCTGCCCGGGGCCCATTGGGGGGTTGGGTTGGGAGGGGGGGTTTACCCAGAAAAAGCGGGGGGAGGTACCAAGGGAAGTGAAGGATGAGAAGGGAATGACTGGTGGGAGTGGCTTTTGAGAATTCTCAGAAGGGAATGACTGGTGGGAGTGGCTTTTGAGAATTCTCAGAAGGGAATGACTGGTGGGAGTGGAAAGAACTCGGGGAGAGGGACAGACAGGTGGTACGGGCTGCAGGTGGGATGGTTGGAAGAAGAGAAGAGATCACCCCAGAGGGATGGTGCGGACTTACTCTGTGCTGTGTGAATGGGTGGAAGAAGGGATGGGATCACCCTCAGCTGCTGGGGACCAGCGGCCAAGGGAAGGGACATTCTGGGAAAGTTTCAGGGCGTTGTGAGACACGCACTCACCACCGCACTCTATATTTCTTACTAACAAGCTCTCCTTCTGGAAAGAATTCTGGGGCTTTTTCTTTATGCCGAACTCACCTTCTGAGCAGACAGCAGCGGCATGGCAGCGTCGGCGACGAGCTTCACGGCAGCCAGCAGCGGGTCGAAGGCCAGGGCCTCCACGAGGGGCGGGCGGGACAGCGGCTGCGCGTGCGGCCCCGTGGTGAGGGCTGATGCGTTGATGAAGGAGAAACCATCCACGTGGTACTCCTCCACCCAGTGATGTAAGGCGTCGACTATCTGGTGGGAGGAAGGGGGAGAGGGGGCAATGAGTGGGCGTGCAGGCCCGTGGTGAGGGCTGAGGCGTAGATGAAGGAGAAACCATCCACGTGACACGTGATGATGCAGGACGTCGACTATCTGGTGGGAGGAGTGGCGTGGCGGGGAGGGGGTGAGAAAGGGCAACGGGTCCATGGTGAGCGCTGATGCGTTGATGAAGGAGAAGAGAAGCCGTCCATCCACCATACAACGTCTCGTGGACTGTAATCACGCGAGCAAGAAAAAAGAAGCAACTACGCAAACAAGCGAGCAAGCGGGAAAGGCACGTGCGAGCAAGCAAGCAAGGCAAGCAAGGCACGCAAGGCACGCACCAGGTTGAGTGCCACAGGGCTGTTGCAGTTGAAGGCGTTGGGAGATCCATACTCGGGCACCACCTGGTGGAGTGGAGGCAGCGTGGTGGGGGCAGTGTGGTGGGGGAGGAGAAGGGGAGATATGGGGCACAGTTGTCAGAGTCGCTTTGACAATTCTCAAAAGGGGAGATATGGGGCGCGGCTGTCAGAGCAAAGGTCATGAGATGATATTTGAAGTGCTTCAAAAACTGCCTTCCCACCTGCTTGCTATAGGCGTGAAGAGTGTAGTAGGCACGGTTGTCAAGTCAATGCCGCAAAAGTTGATTGCCTACTATGAGCACCCGTCGTTCCCACCTGCTTGCCATAGGCCCCCCTCCCCACCCCACCTGCTTGCCATAGGCATCAACGATGTAGTAGGCGCAGTTGTCAATGCCGCGGAAGGAGATGCAGGGTAAGGTGTCCACGGGACGGGATGACAGCTAGCACTTTCCCACCTGCTTGCCATAGGCGTCAACGATGTAGTAGGCGCGGTTGTCGATGCCGCGGAAGGAGATGGGCTTGGGATTCTCATCGCTGCCCTCCGCCGTGTGGCTCACCACCACCTCCACGTGCACCTCCACTCCCCTCGCGTGCAGCTCGCGCACTAACAGCTTGAGAGACTCAGTAGACCCATACGAGGGCATAGGGGCGAAGAAACTGGTGCCAAGGGTTGGGTGGAGGGAGGAGGGGGGAAGGGGGTGGGGTGGGGAGGCAGGGGGAGGGAAGGTGGGAGTGCGGCTTGGGGCTCTCATCGCTGCCCTCCGCCATGTGGCTCACCACCACCTCCACGTGCACCTCCACTCCCCTCGCGTGCAGCTCGCGCACTAACAACTTGAGGGACTTGTTTTTGAGTCGACTCAAAAACAATGCATGCAGCTCGCGCACGAACAACTTGAGGGACTTGTTTTTGAGTCGACTCAAAAACAATGCATGCAGCTCGCGCACGAACAACTTGAGGGACTTGTTTTTGAGTCGACTCAAAAACAATGCGTGCAGCTCGCGCACGAACAACTTGAGGGACTTGTTTTTGAGTCGACTCAAAAACAATGCGTGCAGCTCGCGCACGAACAACTTGAGGGACTTGTTTTTGAGTCGACTCAAAAACAATGCGTGCAGCTCGCGCACTAACAACTTGAGGGACTTGTTTTTGAGTCGACTCAAAAACAATGCGTGCAGCTCGCGTACGAACAACTTGAGGGACTTGCTCGGCCCATAGGATGGCATGGGGGCGAATGGCGATATAGAGGGAAAGGAAGGGGGGGGGTTGGGTTGGGAAAGATGGGGAGGAGTTGGGCAGGAAACGGAAGAGACAGGACAGAGAAGATCACAAGTGGGGTGTGTGGCGGGGGCGAGGGAGGGTGCGTTGTCTCACATCACACCACATCACATCACATCACATCACATCACACCACATCACACCACACCACACCACACCACACCACATAACCCTCCACTCCATGCTGCTGGTGCAGGCAGCTTTAATGTGCCGCTCGGGCCGTATGATAGAGATGTTGGGAGAAGAGAGGGTGGTTGGAAAGGAAAGGAGAAAAGAGGGGATAGGGCACAGTGGGTATGCGATTGTTGGGGTTGGGATGGGTTGGGAGGGGTGGGGTGGGGTGCTTACTTGATAGGGAAGTAGGCTCCTTGGGTCTCGTCGAACGCCGCGATAGGTTGAAGCAGCACCGCATTAACTCCTGTGGCCAATCACGTGCCAGCAAGTGGCGAGTGGGAAGAGGAGGGAGCACGCGACGAGTGAGGTGGGGAGGAAGCACAAGGGGCAGGTAACGAGAAAACATGAGCTGCCAGCCAAAGAAAAGCAAGGTATGAGCAAGAGAGACTCTCACCCAGCGTCAGCAGGTGGTCGGCCTTCTCTAGCACGCCCTGGAACGTGCCTCGACTACGCTTGCCTGCTTCAACCCACTGCTGGGCCTAAACCCCAAAACTTGCACCTTGAAGCCCAGCCCCTAGATCTCGCCACACTCACTCACCCAGCGCCAGCAGGTGGTCGACCTTCTCCAGCACGCCCTGGAACGTGCCTCGCCCCGCCTCGCTCGCTCCGCTGCTCTCGTCCGCCGTGAAGGCTGCCACGTTCAGACGGTACAACCACCAGCTGCTCCGATGGGATGCTGGGGGGCAGATGGAGGGAGAGGCAGGGAGGGACGGAGGGAGGGACGGAGGGGCGGAGGGAGGGAGGGAGGGAGGGAGGGAGGGAGGGAGGGAGGGAGGGAGGGAGGGAGGGAGGAAGGAAGGGAGGGAGGGAGAGAAATAGAGGTTTGGTTATGTTCACAGGGCGTATTCCAGGCTTTGGGACATCCGGGCTTTGGGACTTCCCGAATTAATTTTCCGAGCCGCGGGTTTTCCGATTCGAGCTTCGGGTCTTCCGCTTCGGGAGTTGGCGAGCTTCAGCAAACATGGTGGGCGAAAGTACTTTCTCCCCATTTTTTTTCTCGCATAGCTGGAGTGCGACATTTCTGAAGCTGCGACAACATTCACACTCAAATTTGTGCTACATTGCACATTTCATCTTCGTCCAAAATCGCAAACCCTCGCCAGTTTGCTCTGGCGATCTCAACTTGCAACGACGAGAGCTGCGATTTCGGGTAGCCAAATCGTGAACAATGTGGGCCCGTTGACCCGAGCTGCTGCATTGCAACTCAAGTCTTCCCAAGATTCGGGATGACTCAAAGACCGGATGTCCCAAAGCCAGGAATACGCCCACATACACGCACACACACACACACACACACGCATGCACACACACGCACACACACACACGCACACACACACACGCACACACACACACACACACGCACACACACACACACACGCACGCACGCACGCACGCACGCGCGCACACACACGCACACACACACACACACACACACTCACACACACACACACACACGCGTATTGGAACGAGAGGCAGGCGGTATTCTCACTTGGGGGGGAAGTCATCCTGCCAGCCAGTCGAAAGGCGGCTCCTGCATGGTGGGGAGGGGATGACTGCCAACGCAGCTGCTGGCGATGGCAGGTCCGTTTTGAGGCGCCTCAAGAATACCTTTACACCTTACTCACGAAGACAAGCATCCCCATAGTGTGGGATGAGATGCGAGGGGGCAGGCAGTGGGCTTACTTGGGGGGGAAGTCGTCCTGCCAGTCAAAAGGGGGCTCTTGCATGGTGGGAATGACTGCCAACGCCGCTGCTGGCGACGGCAGGTCCTCTGGTGGGACGGCGGGAGACAGGTTGCAGGGGCACGGGGGGGGAAGGGCAAGGAGAAGTGAACGGAAGGGGCAAGAGGAGGGAGGGTAAAACAGTGGAAGGAGGGGCAAGAGAGAATGAACACAGCTGATGCTGATGCAGGCATGTATATGTGGGAAAGGAAGTTCACATGGCATTGTTAGCATGTCCAGAAGCAGCCACGTCAGCATGGCGATCTCCTTGCCCTGCCACACCACACCTACCTCCGTCATCCACGTTCTGACCACAACTGAGCATACCTGGCCCTGCCACGTCAGCATGCCTTGCCCTGCCACGTCAGCATACCTTGCCCTGCCAGGTCAGCGCACCTTGGCCGGGCACGTGGGCAGCCATCTCCTTGGCGTAGGGGTCCATGAGCACAAGGCGAGAGTGGAAGCGGTTGCCACCCTCCCAGTCAGGGTCGCCCTGAGACACACACAGTGCAGAGCAAAGCACACGTTTCAATAGTTGCCCTGAGGTTGGATGATCATGGGACGGGCCAGGAAGGCGAATCATTGCACACTTGTCATTGCACACTTGTCATTGCACACTTGTCATTGCACACTTGTCATTGCACACTTGTCATTGCACACTTGTCATTGCACACTTGTCATTGCACACTTGTCATTGCACACTTGTCATTGCACACTTGTCATTGCACACTTGTCATTGCACACTTGTCATTGCACACTTGTCATTGCACACTTGTCATTGCACACTTGTCATTGCACACTTGTCATTGCACACTTGTCATTGCACACTTGTCATTGCACACTTGTCATTGCACACTTGTCATTGCACACTTGTCATTGCACACTTGTCATTGCACACTTGTCATTGCACACTTGTCATTGCACACTTGTCATTGCACACTTGTCATTGCACACTTGTCATTGCACACTTGTCATTGCACACTTGTCATTGCACACTTGTCATTGCACACTTGTCATTGCACACTTGTCATTGCACACTTGTCATTGCACACTTGTCATTGCACACTTGTCATTGCACACTTGTCATTGCACACTTGTCATTGCACACTTGTCATTGCACACTTGTCATTGCACACTTGTCATTGCACACTTGTCATTGCACACTTGTCATTGCACACTTGTCATTGCACACTTGTCATTGCACACTTGTCATTGCACACTTGTCATTGCACACTTGTCATTGCACACTTGTCATTGCACACTTGTCATTGCACACTTGTCATTGCACACTTGTCATTGCACACTTGTCATTGCACACTTGTCATTGCACACTTGTCATTGCACACTTGTCATTGCACACTTGTCATTGCACACTTGTCATTGCACACTTGTCATTGCACACTTGTCATTGCACACTTGTCATTGCACACTTGTCATTGCACACTTGTCATTGCACACTTGTCATTGCACACTTGTCATTGCACACTTGTCATTGCACACTTGTCATTGCACACTTGTCATTGCACACTTGTCATTGCACACTTGTCATTGCACACTTGTCATTGCACACTTGTCATTGCACACTTGTCATTGCACACTTGTCATTGCACACTTGTCATTGCACACTTGTCATTGCACACTTGTCATTGCACACTTGTCATTGCACACTTGTCATTGCACACTTGTCATTGCACACTTGTCATTGCACACTTGTCATTGCACACTTGTCATTGCACACTTGTCATTGCACACTTGTCATTGCACACTTGTCATAGACGACAAGTAGACGACTTAGACAACAAGTAGACGACAAGTAG